AGCCTTCCACACGGAACCACAGATGACGTCTGGAACTAAGATATTTATTTCATTTCCACTTCCCATTGAATAACAGATCATTACTCTTTATCCGCTTGCGGACAAGACCGTCAGCTACGAAAATTATTGTGCATAGTGAGCACTCCATACAATTCAAATTGAAGAACTTTGCAGTGCTAAGCGCTCTAACACATTCATCGAACTTCGAAGAAGACGGCGGAGGCGAAAATAAGCTGGTTAAGCAAAGCTACTTATGGCTTTTTCTAATCTGCAATCGATGTTCAAGTTAGCTCAGAGACCTACGCATGTAATCAGTGAAAGACAAGGTGAAGAATTTGAGCTCAAAACAAACACAAAAGATGCCTTGTTGATCGTAAGCAACTGCACAGATTGCTATGCACGGTTACAAGAAAAAGCTGCTAAGTTACTCATTGAGAAATGTGACAATTTGGTGCTAGACGTAAACTGCACGCTGATATCAGGTGTACTGGAACTTCTGTCCTGCAAGAAAATTGTTTTGAATTTTCTTGAATGTGGTCAGGTTAGGAATACTTGTAACTCTGGTATACAAATCTTGTTTTGGTAAAATTTCCGCACAGCCCCATACTATTGTAAAACAAATCTGTTTTCCCAATGGCAATCTATTGTTTTTGTCATTGTTTTCTCAATCCAAGAACTGAATGCATAATGTAGTATGGGGCTGTGCGGAAATTTTACCATCAGTGTTTAAATCATAAGAAATGTGTGTCTGACGATGAGGAGAATTGTTTTTGAGATCTGAAGGGTGGAAGAGTTAAAATCGGTGAAAAATCAAATTGGAAAGACATATTGCAGATTTGTGGTAACTCAAGCTACTTTACTTGTATAATTAAGCACCATATGACAAGCAAGGTGAAGGTGTGATCTGCAAAAGTTGGAGTCAACCCAGAAAAATACCTCAAAATAATGTTATATAAAAATAAAGTAACTGCTTAGTCTGCAACTTAGTCAAACGACAAACTCTGCATCTGAATCAAATGCCTATTCAGTCAAAATATCCATCTACAACAAGTCGTCAAACATAAAGCTTCTTTCGGTTAGAAAATTTGAACACAAGATTAGAAAGTTACTTCCAAATCATCTTGAGCCACAAACATTTGTCCCTATAAAGGACAGAGGATCCCCAACTCCAAAATTAATCTCACTTAAATTTTTCAAGCTACTCAAGTTAGTTATTAAAAATACCAAATGTTTTGTTTCTGACAGATTCCAACTATCATGGCAGATAGTACATCAGATCTGTCAATAAATCTGTTGAAGCATTCCCAGTTTGAATCTCTGTATCTTCATGGCAATTCAAGTAATATTGAGATCTGTGTTGGTGAAGACACCTCAACAAAATATCCAGTGTCTTTTCCAACAGATGTCCCATCACATTTTCAGTTTGTTGCATCATGGGAGAAAGAGGAGGAAGGTTGGAGGCTTGTTTGCGAAAAGGTTGTGAGGGATGGTGTGTTCCCAACTACAGAACGTAAAATGAAGGAAGCTCAAGAAAGAAAAGCAAGAGACCTAGAGAAATTGGCAACGGCCCTTTCTGATATTGTCAGGATAACCCCAAAAGAACAGCTGCAGAAAGACAAAGGAAGCCCAGGTACTGCAGCTGGGGCTGAAAATAAATAACTTTTTAAACAAGATCTAAGCAAAGCTTGTTATCAACCATGGCAAATTTCCCTTGTCAGTAGGGTTTAGGAGGAAAGCTGGTGATTTTTTTGTGTTGGCAATGGCTTGTTAAATAGTTTGTTTATTTCTCTCTTAGTCTATAAACATTATTAGATGTCTGAAATAAATGTTATAAAGAATCCCCTGTCTAAATATTGCAACTGATTCAACTCTAAACCAAAATAGAGCATTTCAAAGAGTGTATACAAGGGTGTATAAGGTGATGACTGTTTTGGGAATATTTTCAGTGGATGATAACACTCTTGCATTTCTTTCACTACTCTCTACAAAGTTGTATGATTTTCATGACCTCTCTGTGTAACTCAGCAGTGTTTCCTTGGCAAGGGTCAAACGTAAAGCCTAACATGGGTAGAGGCACTTGCCAAAGATACTCTATCAGTCCAAGAATTATTAAATAAAGGGATTTTTTCCTCAGAATATCAAATACATTTGCAATTAAAACAGTGATAGGGATAAAGAATAGCACAGTAAGTAGGGAAAATTAGTTCAATACCAAATTTCCCATGCTAAAACTATGAAAAACATGCAGAGAAATGATATTTAGATTTGGGAGTGAACACAGGCCAAGCTGTTACTTCAGGACCTGGAACCACCATCAAAACAAGAAAAAGATAATGAGGGCTTGGCTTGAATCTTTATTCCTAGACTTTAAACTTTCTTTAAAAGCAGCTCAGATACAGGACAGAAAAAGTCAATGTACTGTGCTTTTGGGAGCTTCCTGAAATTCCCTTGATATTTAGAAAAGTAAAATCAATTATAGCCCTGCTAATTAGTGACATTTTCTTTCTGTGTTGTATTTACTTGCATTTTAACCGCAATACTGTGGCATTTTTGTGAGGATTACATTCCTGCATCCATTTCAAGTTTTTCTTTCATTGGCTTACTACATTGGTTTACCATGTAACATTTTCCTGTGATACCAATACATAGTTTGAGCACTAGTAATGAGAAGAGACAAAATTGTTTATTCAGGTTGTAGTTTTGAATTTAATCAACACATTCTCTTAGCTATTTTTCTAGGAGATTAAGGCTCAGATCTATGATCAAAGTAGCATTAACACCAATTTCTTTTTACTTTGTGTTCTTGAAAAAGTTTCTGCTTCTTTCAGTGAATTGGTAATTTGATAAATGCTTGTTTTAATCATCAATGTATTTGGTCTGAACACAGGTCCCCCAGAAGCAAAACCTACATCAGACAAACCCACTGGAAAGCCAAGCCCAGGTGGAAGAGACCATCATAACATTAAGAATGAGGATGACAAGAAAGAGTTCTTTGACTCTCCAGAAGAGCTGGAGCAAAAGATTGATCTTCTTGCAAAATGGGTCAGGGAGAGTAAACACTGTGTTATGTTCACAGGTGCAGGAATCAGCACAAGTACAGGTATCCCTGATTTTCGAAGTGGCATGAACACTGTTCTCAAGACAGGCCCTGGTTTATGGGAGATACAAGCTAAAGGTGTTGCTCGCCAGCCAGGTAAAGTAACTCCCATGTTAAAGGCAATACCTTCACCTTCCCACATGGCCATTGTGAAACTCCATAAGGAAGGGTTGGTTAAACTCACTGTCAGCCAAAATGTTGATGGTCTCCACTTGCGCAGTGGCATTCCCAGCAATGAACTTGCTGAACTTCATGGAAATACCAACTTAGAAAAGTGTACTACTTGTGGTGCTAAATATTTGAGAGACTTTGACACACAAACTGCCAGGAAAGTGCATGACCACCTGACTGGAAGGTCCTGTGATAATATCAAGTGCTGTGGACTTTTAGTAGACTCCATTATAAACTTTGGAGAGAGTCTGCCTGATGATGACCTGATAAAGTCATACCAAGAGGCTGAAAAGTCAGACTTAATGATTGTGCTTGGGTCCAGCCTTCAGGTTTATCCAGCAGCAGACATTCCAGCCACTGTCATTTGCAGGAAACAGAAACTGGTGATCTGCAATTTGCAGAAGACACCACTCAGTTCACAGAGTTCCCTTCAAATACACAACCAGATCGATACAGTAATGAGGGGGCTGATGGAGAGACTTGGCTTGGAGATTCCACCCTTCAGGGTTCAGCGTCGCTTTGCTGTTGAGACAAGTCAGGATAAAATGTTGATTCAAGGCCTTGACATACAATGTAACACTCCATATTCTTTCTTAAAGCAAGTATCTTTGCGTGTGTCGCAGGAGATTGAAGGCACAAAGAAAATTATTGATGAAAAAATCCTTTCTAAGGAGCCTCTGGAAATGTGTTTCAGGCAAAGCCTAAGTATCTCAGAAACTACTCCATTGATTGCAGAGCTAGAGTTTGGTTTCCAGGGTCACTATGGTGAACCAAGCATGTCCTTTACTCATTCTGTTACAAGCTTTGGGAAGGCTTTGTTTCATGCAGAATACAATTTAAGTAAAGGGGAGTGGTCACTGAAAAAAGAATGAAAACGCTCTAAAACCACAGATACACATAATACATTGTACTTGTATTTGTGCTTGAAGATTTCTGTTTTGCTTACCTGTAGAATGTCATTTCTATTTGAAAGTAAATTTAGGAATGGACATGATAAAAAATTTTTTAAGTAACTTTCAAGGGTGTTGGAAAGTATGCAGATTCTGTTATGAATTAATATCCTGTGCTAAAAATCTATACCACCATGTCAATTAGAGTGTTTATCATTTTTTTCTCTTGAAGAAAAGGCTTTTTGAATGATATCAGCTCCAATCATTATTGGTCTTAAGGACAATACTATGTTTACAGAAGTATACTGTATTGTCTTAAGTGTATCAGGTTACCAGTTCTTAAGCTCACTGACAGTTTGTAAAGCTCTGACAACTTTAATATTGTATTATAAAAAAGATATATATCAGTGGGCATATTTCCATATTTGTAATAAAAATCTATGCATTTTAAGCATTTACCTTTGAATATGATTATCAGCAATACAAATTTGGGCTAAAGTCTATTTTATATTTTTTCATATATTGCAAGGTGTAACATCCCCATCTAACACTCATAATCTGTCCCACCCACCCTCCACCACAGGCTCAATTATCCTTACCCCTCTACCCTGGTATTTGCCCGTGGTTCTACAAGGATAGGATTTTCCAAAAATCCAAAACTAATTGATAAAGATTTTTTGAAAACTTTTGAAGTTGTCAAGAACTCAACTGTTATTGGCACTTTTTCGTTTTGTTTAGTTTTGCATTTTTTATTATGTACTAAAAGCGTTGAATAATTAAGAAATCTGGTTTGACGACTATGATGTTTTATCCCAACTCTTATTGTTGGAAGAGACTGGTACCCAGGTGTTCGCTCCAGTCTTAGATTGTAGTCGATAAGCTGCGAAACTCCCTAATATTTCATAGTCGTAGCATAGAAACACAACTTAAAATTACGAAATCCTTTTCAACGAAGTACAAGATCATCATAAGGTAAGTTGTTCTTTTGTTCACATCATTTTCTGTCATAGAAATCGAACGAATTGCGAGATCTGTTACTCCCACGTCTGTACAGCTTTGTTTCTCTTGGTCCCTGGTAACCATCGTTACAACTTTTATAATGCAACACTAACTTACTTTCATGGAGAACTCTAATACACATAAAGAATATTTTCAAGAAATTACACCTGAAACATATTATTTCTGTGATGCATTTGGTGAGATCGATGGTTTCGACGTAAGAATTCTGGTGGCTTCGAATTCAAAACATACTCGGTCTTGTACGTAATATCATGGTAACTCAACGTCTAGATTAGAGAATATAAACATTCTTGTGACACAAATATCAAATATTAGTTAAGTTTAATTGAAACCGAAATTAAATTTTTGCTGTGTGGGTTGTATAAACAACTAAGCATCTAATTTTGTCACAGGCTTTCGCTATTCGGCTGGCGATCTCTCCTTTTCTCAATGTCGGTTGAGTCCAGTTCTATACGAAAATGTATAAAAGTTCTTTTCGGGTTACTTTTTTTAAAATGGGAAACAGATGCAATATTTTAGTCAGGCCGGGAGCTTCGCAGATAACACAAAATTGGTGGGAAGTCCTGGGACAATAATACTAATACCTAATAATACTTAAAACCTGTTTCGTCAGACAGATTTTAAAATGGTTACTCTGTAGGAGTTGCTTAGCTAAGCTAATAAAATGAAAATACAGATGAGAAATCAATTGAACTCTATGTACTACAATTGTTAGTTGGGTAAGGCATGGAAAAAGTTTGGAGACAGGGTGTTAACAATAACATAATGATGATGTCATGGGCAACCTTCCTCATTACCCAAATCTCAAGATCCCTGCATGGAGTGGTTTGTAATTAGTGGTTCGCAATGATTTGTTTAATTCTGTTAAAATTGCAACTTAATATTTAGCTTCTTTATTTTTTCATCAGCTCTGTCCATGGCAGCAAATTTCACATCAAAATCCAATTCAAAAGCATCTGGATCACACATGGAAGCAATGTTTGCCCAAGCTCAGAAAACCCAGGTGGCTCTTCAAGAAGACTACAAGAATGCCCCTATGACCACACCTAGGAAAGCTGGCTCAAAAGTTCCACAAGCAAGACATGGGAAGGCATCAGGCTTGAAACCATCTTATGGGTCTGCTGCTCCCAAACCAAAACCAAGATCAAATGCAATATCAAGTGAGTTTGAGAAGAAGGAGTATTTTGATGAAGAGGATGTGCTGTCAGAAAAGATTCAGGTTCTGGCTCAATGGATTCGTGAGAGTCGATACTGTATTGTCTTCACAGGAGCTGGTATCAGCACAAGCACTGGTATTCCTGATTTTAGGAGTGGTGTGAACACAGTTCTAACCACTGGCCCTGGGGTGTGGGAGCGCAAGGCTCATGGCATCAAGTTACCCTCCCAGCAAAAAAAAGTGCAAAATGTGTTAAAAGCTGTGCCATCACCATCACATATGGCAATAGTTAAGCTTGTGAGGGAAGGCCTAGTAAAGTTTGTGGTCAGCCAAAATACTGATGGCCTGCACAGACGCTCAGGCCTTGATCCCAAGTGCCTTGCTGAGTTGCATGGTAATACAAACATGGAACATTGTTTAAAGTGTGGGTCAAAGTTTATGCGTGACTATAGAACCCGCACAGCCAAAGCTGTACATGACCATTTGACAGGCCGTACCTGTGATGACCCCAAATGCCGTGGCCCCCTTGTGGACTCCATAATAAACTTTAATGAAGATCTGCCAGAGGATGAACTAGACAGTGCATTTGAAAATGCAAAGCTTGCAGATCTATGCATAGTTCTGGGTTCAAGCCTTAGGGTTTACCCGGCTGCGGACATACCAGGGGACATGATCAAAAGAGGAGCTAAAGTGGTGATTGTGAACCTCCAGAAAACACCTTTCAACAAAAGATGTGCTTTGGAAGTTCACGCTACCATTGACATTGTTTTACTCAAACTTTTGAAAGAATTTGGCCTTGAAGTGCCACAGTTTCAGCTCAAACGATGCTTCCAAGTTGATGTCAGGAATGACTCACTGTTGATTCAGGGACTGGATCCAGCCACAAAAACACCCTACTCATTTTTAAAACAAGTGAAAGTAGAGATTCCTCCTCTAAAAAAAGATATAGAGTTGATGAAGGAGCCCTTTGAGGTCAAGTTCCCAAGGCAAGTAGTCCTGTCAAAGGAGAATCCAATGCCCATAAGCCTTACACTTAGCTTTCAGGGCCATTATGGGGAACCTGAATTAAGAATTGAAAAGAATATTGAGGAAGTTGGACCAACTATGTTCTTGCTTACTTTTGATGTCACAACAGTTGAGTGGGAAACGGAGGTCTTGGAGGAATAATGAGACATGACTATACAAGGTGGAACATTGTTCATTTACAGCAATGGAAGGCTGAACATGAACATATTAATATGTAGAGTTTTGAGGAAGCCATGAATTGTCTCTTTTCGTCAATTTACGTTACATTTAAAAGTATTTTAGAAAACATTTTAAGTAATTGAAATGCCAAAAACATGTTTTACATTTTTCATTTTCCACAATGGGAACTTGTAAGCCTGCATGCTCTCATTGGTTCTAGTACCATGAGAAGTGAAGCTGCTAAAGTTGTTAGTTGTGCCACAGGGCTTATGAGAACCTGCTTGTATGCCTACTTAAGAGACAGGGGGTAACAAGTTAACATTTGGTCAGTTTTGAAGCTGCTACACTGCATTTTTCTTTTTCAAGAAAATCATTCAAATTCTCCAAAGAGTCTCCAGGAAATTAAAATTTAAAGCACCATAGAACATTATTGAATAGAAATTGATTATATACCTTTCTTCTGGCCATAGGGTATAATTAAATGTAAGTAAAAATTGTTTTTGTTTTTTTCAAAAAAATGTTCCCTTTAATGATGAAAAGAATGTTGTGCAACACTTCAGAATTCCCTTAACTTCTGATGGCTTCAGTCAATGGAACTGCTGTGGGGATATCAGTAACAGTCATGGGCTTGATCTGTACATCAGACAAAGCTACACTTCACACACCTTTTATGGAGCTAGTACAAAGCCCTGATGGAGGTTCCTTATTTATGTTCCTCAGGATACTGGGACCAGGTTCTACTTAAGTTGGTTTCGTATTTCTGTTGAAATATTTCCCCAAAGAGGTAACTAATAAAACTCTTACAGCTCTTGATGGTGTTCTCATGTTATGCATTATTTTAGATGACCAATTAATCTGTGTTTTTTGCCATCCTTAAAAGACACATATCTTTTTATTTTGTGTTTACTTTACAGTCTCTACTGTTATTCAAGCAGTTCAAGTAAGTATTTCCTTTCGTATCTGTTCCATGAGGCTGGTGGAAAGGCATGTACAGTACTAGAAGAACGCTGGCTTTCAGAAGAATGCATGTATACTGTAATGACATGCATTAATGCGGAGAAAATCCAATTTGTCACCCAGCTTCCTAGTAAAGTTCCTTCCTCTTTTTTAATTAGAGCTTAACCGACTGACGTTCCTGTTCTCTCGATAAAAATCACGCTACTAGCGCCGCAGGACCTGCAGGTCGCGTTACTCAAGGACTCAGACTTTCTCGCATGCAAACAAACGCTAGTGTCGAGATGCTATTAATTACGAATGAATAAAGGGGTAAGTTTCTAAAGAAACTGTGGTGCTGCGTCGGTGGGAGAGTATAGCAGGTAATTTAGTGTTAACAACTTGGTTGAAAACGTAAATTAGCCACCGTAAAGGGTAAAAAAGCTGACGTTTCGAGCATTAGCCCTTCGTCAGAGCGATTGACGAAGGGCTAACGCTCGAAACGTCAGCTTTTTTACCCTTTACGGTGGCTAATTTACGTTTTCAACCCAGTTGTTAACACTAAATTACCTGCTATTAATTACGGCCTGCTCGTTAGTTATCCTTACCAATCTAGGGTCTGGTCTCTCGAAAGTCTCGGTAGCTAAAACTCCAATCTTTAATGAAGAGAGAACAGCTTCAGAGGCCCGTTAAGTTACCGGGACCTTCGAGAAACGGGCCCAGATGCAAAAACTTAGCCTCTTATCTCGAAGATTGACTAGGATCTAATTTCTCCTCACAATGTCACTCCTGAATCGAACATTAAGGTAATGAGAATAAAGGAAATGATCACCATTTAAAGAAGCTCTTGATTGTTAAACAAATTCTCCTTGTCAGCTCCTTAGTAAATGTAGAGAGAACAGTATGGAGAATATGCATACTGATGTTAGGGTGTAAAGGGTTAAAACAATGGTGACTTGAAATTGGTCTCTCTTGTTTACACCTACTACAGGCAGTTAACCTGTTTTAATCCAGAAGCATAAAGCAGCATCTGTTGTGTATTAGGGATCGATATACTACTATAGAGTAATGCGTGAATCAGACCAGGTGCTCTACACAACTGCTTTATTAGAATACCATGGACTAAGTTACATTAAATGATATAGAGGAAGATGTTTATCGTCTTGGCACGAACGTGGGACAAAGAAAAAATCCTGAGTCCCCATGAAGGATCGAACCTCAGACCTTCGGATTCCGCGCTCCGATGCTCTGCCACAATGATGGTAGGCATAATCACGTGACTGCGGTCAAGGGTGTGCAACTGTTATCTGCGAAGCTCCCTACACAGCGAAAATTTGATTACGGTTTCGATTGTACTTAACTGATATTTGATATTTGTGTCACAAGAATGTTTATATTCTCTAATGTAAACGTTGAGTTAACATGATATTACATACAAGACCGGGTATGTTTTGAATTCGAAGCTACCAGAATTCTTACGTCGAAACCATCGATCTCAGCAAATACATCACAGAAATAAAATTTTTCAGGTGTAATTTCTTTAAAAAAATCCTTCGTGTGTATTTGAGATCCACATGAAAGTTAGTTTGTGCTACATTAGAAAAGTTGTAACGATGGTTACCAGAGACCAACAGAAACAAATCTGTACAGTTTCGCGAGCTTTTCCATACACATTGGAGTAACAGATCTCGCAATTCGTTCGATTTTTGTGACAGAAAATAATGTAATAATGATGGTCTTGTAATTCTTTGAAGAGGCTTTCGCAAGTTTTAGCTTTGTCTATGACTATAAATAGTGGTGACATAGATACGAACCAAATTAAAACTGCAACGAAGCAAATTTTGTTGAATGCTTTTGGCGCAAGTAATTCCTTGAGAGTATCCATTGTTTCAAAACTGTTCTTATTTTCGATTAGATGAAAATCGCTCAATAACTAAGGTTGTGGACTTACAGTTACTCAATGTTTCAGATTAAATTAAAGTTTCTGAACGAGATTACAAATTTAACTCTTGGCTGCCAATCTTTTGTTTTCGCACGCCATCATTTTCTCGAATACACAGGAGGCTGATATTGGAAACTGAAGCAGAAAAATGAAATGGACAGATATGTTTTGTTTAGGTTATGTCAAATTTTCTCTCTCTAATGAATAAGATGCTATGAAATTTCGTTGAAAGACGCGTCAAAGAAACAATTAAGTATGGCGAGAACTTTGGCTGAGACTTCTTTCGTCACTACAGAAAGAAATAAAAAACTTAAAAAACTTCGTGCAAGCCAGGGCTTTTCAATGAACCCGAGGTATTCAAGCTCGACTCCTATTTTTCCAAAGAGTCTGTAATACTACATGTTTTCTCTTTTGACTCGTATGATACCTGCAAACCGTTATTTATCAGTGAGCCTTATCGTGAAACACACTTCTGTACGAAACTAAAATCATGCATTTAAACCCAGCCGTCATACGCTCCTCTATTGGACAATCTTTAAGAGATTTCCATAACTGAAGATTATCCTTGTATTTATTTCCCAAATGAGAACGTTATAACCAAATGTATACCTTGTTCTTCTTGTTAACGGAATGAATGGTCAAAACTTCAGTTTTTTATACCAACAATCGGCAATAAAGTGGATCAATAACAGCCGTCAAGTCATAAAAATATTCCTCTCTAAGAAATGAAACTGAGTCGTGGTATACTATGAATAAACAATCACTACAGTCTAAACACATGGCTCTATCACTCGTTTTTACAGTTTATGGAGAGACGTAGCCTCCATAGAGAGAAAATTCGTTGGACTTAACTTTGGAGCGTAAAACTGGACGGCCGCTAGCGCTCGAGCTGGGCTTCAAACTTAAAGTTCTGACAAAAAGGATGTTTCTGATACCCCGAAAAGTTTCCTCCGACCAACGCACACTTCTTCGGTGATTTTGCAGAAAACATATTTTTGCTAAAAATTGATTCATTGAAATATTTGAAATAAATTTTATCGTTTATTGAAGCACTGTTGTTCTAAAAAAATAAACCGGTTAGCCGTTAAATGGACCCGATAGATAAATATTTTGAATATTTAAATCCACGTAAGTTGTCGGTAAAACTTCTATTATTTCACACCAAATGCATGTATCTTGCTTCAGTTTAAATGCAAGAAACAGTATTTGCCGATAACAGATTCTTTCATGAGTGCTTAAGTCGCTTCTACTCCTTTTGGGAACATTTGACGAACCGTCTCAAGGATTTGAAATACTTTGGCCAATATTCGTCTACGAATCTCCTGATTGAAAAACAAGTCACTTTGTATTCATGGCACTTAATATAATCTGTAAAGTCGGGTAACTGGAATTAACTTCAGAGTGGAAATCAGTGCAATCAAATCGAGCTGGTTGAGCGGGGTGAAAAACTCAAAAATTGCGAGTTCCGCGAAAGCGCGTCAGTCAACTTTTTTCTGGTTTGATTTGAGAGATGATGCCTCTGGCCATCTTTTTTTTCTCGTTTTCATTCGAATGAAAAGTCATCTCTATTTTTACGGTCAGAATAACTTAAAAGCGCAAAGAAACGAAGCTTAGTGACTCGAGAGGATTGAATGCGAGCTTTGAAAAACTTTGCTGACACGTTTCCCAAAAATTTCTGAAAGAAATTGATCTCAAATTAACACGGACAACACTGAGAAATTTGCTGATGCAAGTCTCCACCTCCATCGGGTAAAAATGCATTTTCGTTTATCGCGTCACGAACATACACGTAAATAACGTGCCCAGTTGAGAGGAATTTATTTCTTTCTGTGGTGACGTAAGAAGTCTCAGCCAAATTTCTCGCCATACTTAATTGTTTCCTTGATGCGTCTTTCAACGAAATCAGTTCAGAGCATCTTATTCATTAGAGAGAGAAAATTTGACATAACCAAAACATCTGTCCATTTCATTTTTCTGCTTCAGTTTCCAATACCAGCTTCCTGTGTGGTCGAGAAAATAATGGCGTGCGAAAACAAAATATTGGCAGCCGTAAGTTTGCCAAAAGTTGAAATTGTAGTTTTGTTCATAAACTTTTATTTAAACCTGAACAATCGAGTAACCAGAAGTCCTCAACCTAAGGTATAGAGCGATTTTCATCTAATCGAAAATACAAACAGTATTGAAACGATGGATACTCTCAAGGAATTACTTGTGCCAAAAGCATTCAACAAATATAGCCACTTCGCAGTCGTGTCAATTTGGTTCGTGATGGGTGCAACCTTCCTCGGCATTTTTATTGAAGTGGAAAACACCGAACCCAGGTTTGATTTCCGTTGCGGTGCAGCGAAGACTGAAAACATTGATCTCGTCCGTGGAAAATGTTTCCGGCAATACATGAAGCAGTACAACAAATACGGTGTTCCCGTCTATGGCTTCGTGATCATCAATTTCTTCCTTATTGCTGCTGTATATGCTGTGTACTCCCAAATAGTGAAAAATACAGTCAATGAACTGTCGTCAAGCACTGGCAACGGTGACCCTGAGAGTCAGTCGGGCGACCAAGAGAACAAAAAATCAAAGGGAAAACAGCTTTTCATCGCTTACTGCTGCCAACTATCTACGAGACTTGTTTTAGGAGTTCTTTCCATGATCCTTCAAACTCAGTTGCTTTATCCTCTCGAGTTTTCCTATACGTTTGACTGTTATTTACCCTCCAGAACCAATCAGCCAAGGAATTCATCGGACGCCACCCAAAACTCTGCTTTTTACGAATGTAGCAATCAACGAGCGGAAAAGAAAACCTTCTGGATGAACGCTATTCTTGTAGTGAATGGAATTTTTGTCGCTGGCATTCTTATTGAAACCATCTACATTTTGTCACGGGCATGCATAGAAAAGAAGTTCATGAAAAACTCAAAGTTTCTTGAAACACATTTAAATCCCAACCATGGAAAATCTCATCAGGAACCTCAAAGGCAAGAAGGAAGAATAGAACAGTTACGAGTGCATGACAGTTACGAGTGCATGAAAACTGTTCGACCCGAGGGAAGATGATGTCGTTCAACCACAACCATACGAGCGAGAACACCGTCCAACCGAAGTCGAGTTAAACTCAGAACCTCAAAGACAGGATGATGTTGTTCCACTGCAAAGAGAGCGAGAACACCGTGCGACCCAAATTGAGTCCCACCAAGAACCTCAAAGTCAAGATGACGTTTTCCCACTACAACCACGGGATGAAATCGAGTCGCATCAAGAACCTCAAAAGCCAGATAGAAGGTGCGGACATGATAATGTTCCTCCGACGCAAAGGGAACCAGAACAGCTCCAAAACTCAAATCTTCAACGATTCATTGCGAAAACAAAGGAAATAATTCAAGAAGACACCCAAAACCTTTTTGAGCTCCAATCACCTTTTTTAGGAAACCCAGGCGAGCAAACGGCAGTTAAACATTTGACTTTGGATCAGATTTACACAAATCTTACAGTTATTAATGATAGAGATACGTATGACTTTACTGAAGACAGACAGGAGCAACTCAAAGTTTACCCAAGGTCGCGCAAGGGAGAATCACAACCCAAAGGCTTAGAAGACCTCCTAACGGATAAAAGTAAGAAAGTTTTGGTTGTTGGTCGTCCCGGAATCGGCAAAACATTATGTTGTATTAAACTTCTCAGAGACTGGGCATTTGATGAAGTTTTTATAGCGACATCTAATGCTGAAACGCACTTTGATGCTGCCTTTTTCGTAAAATTCAGAAGATTCAACTCGACCGACGTCCTGAACCTCAAGGAACTATTGATTCAGTCAGAGCATTTTCCCCCAGACCACCTGGATGATAAAGTCTGGAAATACATCCTGCAACACCCTAAACGCGTCCTCATACTTTTTGACGGATTCGATGAATTCAAACATGATGCTAAGATCGTTCAGGCGCCTCCTCGTCCCAGCGTAGAACAGCAAATGCCGCTCCGAATCCTCTATCACTGTCTTGTGCACGGAAAACTCCTCAAAGATGCCTCAATTGTGACCACGACGAGACCTACGGCTTTGCCGAGCATCAGACGCCTTCCATTCGACAAAATCTGCGAGATTTTGGGGTTTTCAACCGAGCAAATTGAAGAATATGTCTACAAATTTACGGGAGACGACAAGCAAGCAGGCGAAACACTATGGCGACACATCAACAGCAACATGAACTTACTTTCGCTCTGTTATGTCCCTGTGAACAGCTTCATCATATGCTCAAGTCTGTCACAAATATTGCAGTTCGAAAGTTCCGCTGTTGTTACCCTTCCTTCCAAATTAACCAAGATATACAAGATTGCAGTGAAATTGTTTTATTTTAGACACACTAAAGAATTCCACGATACTGATATCACTCGTGAACACTTTGAATCTGATGAATTGTCCTCGGATGTGGAGGAGAAATTCGAGAAACTAGGAAGAGTGGCGTTTGAAGGAATCAAAGAAGGAAAACTGATCCTTGAAGGAAACGAAGTACGCGGAATGGAAGACAACGCGCTTTTTCATCGCTTACCCGACCGTAAAACCAGCGCGCTTAAACTTGAACGACAATTCTGTTTCATTCATCTGACAATACAAGAGTTTTTCGCTGCGAGGCACTTGGCAAATAGTATGAGTGAAACAGAATTGAGGAACTTTGTTTCCGAAAACATCAAGAACGGCAAATGGCAACTGGTTTTTCAGTTTCTGGCAGGACTAATGGAGGATAAAGTTCACCTACCAAGCGAAATCATCACTGACCTTCTTCCTGTGAAAACTGAAATGAAAGAAAGCGCCGACTCCAACGAACAGTGGACCGAGAATGAAGACAAAATGGTGACCTGCTGGCCGACTGAAGACGAACAAGATTTAGCAGTGACGCTTTTTAAATGTGGTAACGAAAGTGATAAGATGGAGTCGATAGTTCAGAGAAAACTTCAACAAATAAACTTTAATTTTGTAAATTTTATTCGTGGTTACCTCACAGCTGTTGATTGCTCTTCGTTAGTAAATGTAATTAAGAATGTTCAACAAATTTCACATTTAGATTTGAGTCAAAACGATGTTGGTCCATTAGGTAGTTTTGAGATTTGTAAATTGTTAACATGTAAGGAATCTCAACTACGCTGGTTGAACCTCACAAGAAATCAACTGACAGACGAAGCAGCAAAGTATTTAGCTGAAGCCATCAACAACAACAACTGTCAGCTACACACGTTAAACCTCTCACACAATAACATCTCACACATTGGAGCACAGCACTTGGCTGACGCCATCAACAACAACAACTGTCAGCTACACACGTTAAACCTCTCAGACAATAACATCTCAGACATTGGAGCACAGCACTTGGCTGACGCCATCAACAACAACAACTGTCAGCTACACACGTTAAACCTCTCATACAATAACATCTCAGACGTTGGAGCACAGCACTTGGCTGACGCCATCAACAACAACAACAACTGTCAGCTACACACGTTACACCTCTCATACAATTACATCTCAGACATTGGAGCACAGCACTTGGCTGATGCCATCAACAACAACAACTGTCAGCTACACACGTTAAACCTCACATACAATAACATCTCACACATTGGAGCACAGCACTTGGCTGACGCCATCAACAACAACAACTGTCAGCTACACACGTTAAACCTCACAAACAATAACATCTCAGACATTGGAGCACAGCACTTGGCTGACGCCATCAACAACAACAACTGTCAGCTACACACGTTAAACCTCTCATACAATAACATCTCACACATTGGAGCACAGCACTTGGCTGAAGCCATCAACAACAACAACTGTCAGCTACACACGTTAGACCTCTCATACAATAACATCTCACACATTGGAGCACAGCACTTGGCTGACGCCATCAACAACAACAACTGTCAGCTACATACGTTAGACCTCTCATACAATTACATCTCACACATTGGAGCACAGCACTTGGCTGACGCCATCAACAACAACAACTGTCAGCTACACACGTTAAACCTCACATACAATAACATCTCAGACATTGGAGCACAGCACTTGGCTGACGCCATCAACAACAACAACTGTCAGCTACACACGTTAAACCTCACACACAATAACATCTCAGACATTGGAGCACAACACTTGGCTGACGCCATCAACAACAACAACTGTCAGCTACACACGTTACACCTCACACACAATAACATCTCAGACATTGGAGCACAGCACTTGGCTGAAGCCATCAACAACAACAACTGTCAGCTACGCACGTTAAACCTCTCACACAATCGACACATAACAAGCAAGCAACACGTACGTTATTTACTAAGCAATAGTCAGTGTAAGCTTATCCTTTAGGCCTCAGCAATTCCAATTAAAAAATGAAAAAATTATTATAACAACTTACTATTCAAAATAACTGTGAGGTAACCAGCTCAGTGACAATTACAACCCAATAAATTAGAAACGTGACTGACAGCAAAGTGAGTGTTAGATGCGCTTGAGGCAGCGAGATTATTTGAACCGGATCGAAATGAAAAATGAACCAATGAAGATGTTTATTGGGAACACAGGATGTCAAACTTTTTTTATAAATGAACCAATAACATTGAAGTAAAACCACAAACTTCCTGCAGAGAAAACAAACAAACACGGACCTCTCAGGAAACTTTGTCATTTTATGATTGGTTAGTTTCGATCCTAAATTCACTGCATGCTCATAAATGTTCTTATCGCTTGTGTATGTCGTAAGGAATAAGTTTTCTGCTGCGTTTATTGAAGCTCTTTAGGAGATTATAAGCGGATCAAATAAGTTAATATAATGCAGATTGCTTGGTACAATACATTTGTTTTATTTGTTTTAATTTTTTTGAGTGGAAGCGATCCGGTTCAGGTAGTTTCATACTTTCTACCAGTGAAATCGTAACCAAATTATAAATTGACTAGTCGCACTTAAAAAAGAGCCTTTTTGAATAGGTTTGTGGTGTAAGATTTATTTCATGTAATCGAAACAATTTTTGCGGTTTTCGCCGTTGTCATAAATATTGAGTATTTTTGTACATGTTTAGGGCCTGTTTCTCGTCTGGTATGATGAAATGTTAATAAGTTGGACTACGAAATCTGATGAAGTACCAGACTCAGACAGTTAAGGTATTTAGCTTAAAAGTTCTTGTAAATAGAGTCAGAACTCCCAAAGTTATCAAAGTAGAATAAATTTTTTAAGCCAATTAAAACTTGCGTTGTCATATATCTATCCCTTTGGTTAGACCTAACTTGAAAGCTGTGGAGAGGGGTGGGGCAGCAGAGGGGGGAGGTGAAACCTTCTAAATATCAGACTGGAACAAAATAAATTTACAAGAGAGACATGCCTCCATTCCTCTATAGAAACACTTATCACTTACTCTTAACCCACAGAGTCCCAATATATGGCTGTTAACTCTCCTCTTTACCTGTTGCAAATTTCCTTGCAATAAATTAGTAATGAGAATTTGGAGATAGATCAAGATAACCACTTTTGCTTGCAAAGTTTGTGTATTCTGATTACCTGTTTGCTGCATAATGTATGCATAATGTAGATTCTAATTCATATCCCAAACCAACAGTAAATATCTTATTCCCTTGAATGAGCACCCACAATCCTACCCCAAATAAGTTCCCACTCCCTAGGTCGTAATATCAAGCAAGCGTGCGCCCCTCCTTCCTCACTCACTAAAGTAGTAGGGATACAAAGGAAACCTGTTTCTATTGCCATTCAATGTACAAATTTTTAAGCTTTAATTGAAGCAGAATCAGTAATTTTCTTAATAAGCACCCCCTCCATTAAACAAGGGGGGAGCCCTTTCCCTCCAATAAGTGCCCCTCCTTGAGACCAGTATTTTGAATAAGTTCACAAGCATTTATTCCAGGAAATGCAGTATTTTAGTAAGTTTAAAATGTAAACGACATGAAATAAATGTCACATTTTTATATCTTGAATAAATTCCTGTCCACTTACATAGAATTTTGGTCAAAATTAATCAAGTGGGACACAAAATAACCTTTTTTTGTAAAACAAGATTTACAGAATCAGTTAACCTTCGTGTAAAAAGTAAAAAAAAATATTACAGAAAAGAAAATAGTCAGAGACACAGATGAAATCTACCTGTACAAACTCTGTCTGAAAAACCAATCTTTTCTTTCATTTCATCCAAATGGTTGTTACAGAATAACCATGTGTGTACTTTTAAACTGAAAATTATGTATTAGGCTTCTGCACATCATTTCCCTCCAAAAATATTTATCCTTTTACTCTTAAAATTCATCAAAAAGAAATTTCTTCTTTCAACACAATTCATTCACTAAGCAGAAAGGTAATGACAGTGAGGCCAAGAGAAAGAATAAAACATCAGAAACTCATGGCAATTAGTTTGAACAACAAGAAGCAGAGATGTCAGTTTTTTGCCCCTTTTTTTCAAAGAAATCTGTTTGAATGTTTTCCAAGCTTAATAGCTTCTTGCCTTTCTTACTCCTTCTTGCTTCAAAATTTCAGACAGCCAAAAAACTGGCTTACTGCAGGTGTGATGCAAAAAAAGAAAAAAAAAAGACTGTGTTTTCATAACACAATAATGTCCTTTGATGTTATACCTGTCTGTGGAAGATATGTTTCTGAAAAAATTGTCACCAGAAGTAGCCTTTATGATCTCAATTTAATTTACAACTACACATACATAAAAAAAAAAAATGATAAAAAACTTTTAGGCTTATTTTCCATTGCATTTCCTCCACACAATAAGCCTTTTCACAGTTATGTACTTAATTGTCAAGCCTTTAATTTGGAGTGAGGCTGAAAGTGACCTTGTTGTAATAAAGACCAGTATCTAGTTAGCATAATAACAAAGTAATTTACATTTGAAAAGCAGCAAGGTTTGTATCATAACAAGGTCACTCTTAGCCTCACTCTAGTTCAAAGGCTTGGCAACTAAGCATGCAACTGTGAAATGGATTATTAAAGCTGTGTTTGCTGCAAATAATATTCTATGAAACCTTTCCTCCCCTTATCTCATTTATTTAAGCAATTCTCTTTACTGTTGATCATACAATTCTTGTGATATTAGTTCTGAGAATTAGGTATTGGAACAACTACTAATCCATACTTTTCTTCATTCTTATCACTGCTGATATTGTATTAATGTATTGATAACATCAGATTGCTTTGTGGCTGCCAGATTATGATTTTCGACTGATTGCCAAATGCTTGGCAAAGACTTGAACATTAGGTGAGGTTTACACCCTTGGCTTCTTCACTTGATGATGAGAACTGTCAACAATATTGTCTTCCAACTCCTTGTACCTGGCTGTCAGTGGGTTGTAGATGTTCTGAGCATCACACAAGGGCTCTGCTACTTTTATATAAGGTGGTGCTTCACTAACCACATCCATAAAAGACCTGCCATTACTACGCTCCCAGCCATGCTTAGCACGGTATGCACAACCCAGACAAGCTGAATTGGCTGTATCTTGGATGGCAAAGACAGGAGCATAAAACACATCAGCTATTACTTGAAGTATGGCAAAATTTGATGATGCACCTCCTGTTGCAAGTATGCGTGTATTTGAACCTAACAACAGAATAATAACAAAATTATAGCCTTGCTTTGTAGGGGTTAGTTTGGTATATTCCCCAGAAGATAATCAAAACAACCTTATTTTATTAAGCACTCTCCAATTGACTCAAGCTCAGCTTCAAATGTTCCACTTTGACTACTTTTCATTTGACTAGCTTTATTGCAGTTGTGCTACTCAAAATACCCATTAGTTGAACAAGGAATTGGGTGTTAAATCAAGATAACAACTTCTATCTTAAAAGTTTGAGTATTCTCATAACCTCTTTGCTGGAGTAAGTATGGATATTACAGACCAGGATAAGTTACATGTTAATCACTTCTGGGAGTTGAAGGGTTTAAAACAAACAAGAATACAGAGCAATAATAATCATTTTACTAAATAAGTGTATTGAGGAACACAATGATAATCTGGGATCATACTATTTACCTAATGAGTACCCTAGGGCTTCTGCATGAGCTCTCTTAGCCATGATCTGTCCCTCAACAAGTGCTCTCACTTCTATTTCTTTTGAAAATGAATCAACTCTTTCCCCCTTATCATTAAAACGATGAATTCCAACAGCAAAAGGTGTTATTTCTGTGGCTGCAAAATAGATGCCAATGTTTCCTTTATTGCCACGATCAGTGTTCTTCAAAGCTTTATTGAAAATTTCCCAGGAGTTGTCTGCTGAAGAGTCTCGTATGGACTCTCTTGTCAAGGACCCATTCTTGAAACAGAGAAGAGCCATGTAGGCATTTTCTACAAGGAAGAAAAATATATTTTCAGATTTTCACACTGTTGCCTTGCTGGGAAAGAAATACAGATGATAAAAATGATTTAGTAGTTTTGCTTTCATTCTACAAAAACTATTGACAGTGTTACTAACAGTTGCAAGTAAAAAAGTCATAAGCAAAATTAGAGTTGGCCATTTCTTGCAGGATAAATGACATAAGTCACATTATCTACCATGAGATGTTTGTTACACAAACAATCCAGTATTTGTCTTTATTTGTTGTAAATGAAAGTAATAACAATAATTGATAAACTTATATAGTACATGCTACATGACTTAATGATCATGTGTGAAAAAAAATATAAAACAACCATAATAAACTAAGCAGATAAAATATGATTAAAAAAACCTAGAATCACTGAAAAATTATACAAATGAAATGCTATAAAACAGAAGTTAAGACTAAAATCATGTAAAAACTGATATGGCTTAAAAATTGCTGACACCATAAGAAAAAATACTATTTAAAATTTTACAGACATCAGGAAAGCACTAATTCAAAATCATGGGTCTAAGGCAAACATTTAAAATTGCCAAAAGTAGAGGCTTATTTTATTTCAGTTGGAGGTGAGTTCCAAACTTTTGCTGCAGCCATGCTAAGAGAGTAAATAATCACCAATTTTTGCATAAGACTTACATAATGGATTATTTCAGTGACTTTCTTTGGTGGATCACAAAGAATAACTTGTTCCATACATATAGTAGAGGTAAGATCAGTTATGTAGGACCGTACCAAGCCACATATGGCCTTATATTTTAAAAGTACTATTTTGAAATTAATCCCTATGTGAATGGGTGACCAATGAAGCTTCATAAGGAGAGGGATAGCAATTTGTTAATTAACTATTTGTATACATCTCCTCCATTGCTTGAGAAGGACACACACATTTTTGGAAATCCTTACAAAAAGCTTTCAATATGAAACATTGAATGCAAACTAAATCAAATATACAATACCTTCAATTGGATTGACAAATATATGCCCCTCTAGGGCAGGCTTGGGAGTTTTGAAACATAGCATGAGTGTGTCACTGGTACCCAGACTCAATGCAATGTCCCCTTTGTCTAGCCTCATCCCTGCTAAGGAAGCAGGATTGTCACCGGTGAATGCCACAACCTTACAATCAGGACTGAATCCATATTCTTGCACCATGTACTGTGATATATGGCCAATTATTTCATAGGAAGGTACCAAGTCCCCAAGCTTCTCCCTCAAATTTGGTGCACACGCCTACCCAAAAATAACAAAAAAATTGAACAAAGATTCCACATTGATCAATTGCAATTTCAAAAGTCTGTTTCAATCTTCTACAATTTGAAGTTGCATTGGGTACAACTGAACCATTTTTTACACAATCACTACAAAGCAAATCTGGTTGGATTACAAAATTGTCATCACTACCCACTATATGGAATTTGAATTTGATGCTCATCAAGCAACTATCCTATTTTTCTCCAAAATTTGTCCTTAACTCTTTTTCATTTGTCAGGTCAAAGAGTGGTAAACTAAAATGGAAACCAAGGGAAAAACTGGTGTAAGGCTGCTTGGTTAGCACTTATGGTGAGTGAATCTAGATGAAACTAAGAATTTGTAAACTGGTGCACCTCCAAAGGGTGGTAAAGTTGTTCTACATTATGCTTTTTCACTTATTTCCATGTACAGGCTCTAAATGCTTGGTAACTCAAAAACCAAACTGTGCTCTGTTAAACCTACTGTTAATGCTCCATTTATAGTACTCAAATTATAGTTTTCATTGTATCAGACAATGACAACCAGGGTGTGTGACCAGTCCAAGCTTTTGTCTGTCAACCCTCAAATTTACTAGACATATCAGTGCATGAAATTAATTTTTTTTCCTGACAGCCACTTAGCTCCTTAATTCTTCAAAGTGGTAGCCAATTCAAAAAAAGTTGGTTGCCATTTTCAAAGACAAACAAAACCATTTTTTTTTATGCTGTCAGTGTTCTAGATAGACCCTCCAAAAGTAAGTTAGTAAAAAGATCTTTAACCTGCAACAAAGTGGACACTAGAATGGAAGATATACAATGCTCAAGCTCACCTAAATCCAAGATGGCATCTAGTTATTGATCAAAATGCATGTGCTACATTTTGGAAACAAACTTAACAAGGAAGTTTGCCACAGATCTATCTTTGCAAATCTTGGTAAAATTTCCGTACCGCCCCATACTATTGTAAAACAAATTTGTTCTCCCAATGGCAATGTATTGTTTTTTTAATTGTTCTCTCTATTAAAGAACTGAATGCATATTAATGTAGTGCAGGGCTGTGTGGAAATTTTACCCAAATCTTTTTAATTCACTGTATCTTTAAGTAGGGTTATGATGAAACATTCTGGTTGCCAATTTGATGACTAATTTTCAGGATTTGATCACCAAAGCAAAAAATTTAGTTGCATTGGCACCTGTAGTAGGTGCTATTTCACGCCCTGCATATGCCCCATAACATCATTTTAACTCTACCAGAAGGTAGTTGGTTGTGTAAACAAGCAGCCAAATACATTGTTAATTTTAATAGCCCAATAAATCAATAACTCATCAGATTTCAATGATAAACAATACAAATATATTGCCTGAGTCTTACTGTGAGGTCTATTATCTAAAGCTGACTTAAATAATATCAGAGTTGGTATTCTTCATGATTGTAACTTAGAAAGTTTGAACTAGAATGATCAACAAACCTCTAGGCACTTGTCTTCCCAAGTTTTACTGTGAATATTCATCAGATTCATTCCAGATCCATCACTAAAATCAATTGGTGCATAGTCACCAATCAAAAGACTAGCAGCAAAGCTGCTAACCAGGGAAATTCTCTCACACATGTTGTATGCATCAGGTTTCAACTCATATATCTTGGCAATTTGATTTCCTGTGAAGCGTTCATAAGCCCTTGAGCCTGTAATATCACTAAGTCTTTGTGGGCCACCAACTGCATCCTCTAAATTTCGGCATTGTTTTCCTGTACTTGAATCCATCCATATGGGAGAGTCCTTGATAGCAAATGAATCCTAGAAATTGAAATTTGATGAGAAAAGAAAACACTTTAAGTTTATGATGTCTCAGGCAAATAATAATCAATTTTTTCCTCAGGACTTTGTAGGGAGGTACCATATGACTCTTGATGCTTTGACTTCATGCTACTGGCAGCATGCAGTCAAACATCTGCATTTCTAATCAAAACTCTGCATATTTCAAGACAAGCAATGAAAATTAACAAAGTTAACAATACAAACAGACAATAGAATATGGCAACAATAATACTGTTTCCTCTTAGTGGTGAAATTTAGAGGGAAACATAATTACCTACAAATAAAATAAACATCTGTTACAAAATAAATTAGCTAGGTGTATTGCTTTTCAACTTATATGTCACACTTTCAGCTTAAGTATTTAAAAAGCCCTCAGAACATGAGAACCATCATCATAAGAAGACCTTTAAGGTGACAGGATTGGCTTTCTCAAAATGATTCAGTGATCAGTTCAACAACAATACTCCGGGCACCTGAAGACAGGCACATGCATTGTAAGCCTGAGAACGTATGGCAGTATTCTATTGGAGAAACTGAAAAAGGAGACTTAAACCACTCCATGGACATAATCCAAAAACTGGCTGAGGCTTATAACAGTGGAATACCTTTGCCACCATCTTGCATTCCAGTGGGTACTCATAATGATAGTGAGTGAGAGAGTAAATGAGTGAATAAGTCAGTGACTTATTGAATTGGAACCATTTAACCCTGTAATGAACTGGCATCCCATTAAAGGAAGAAGTCCTCTGCTATCCAACAAACTTCCAGGTGGACAAAGCCACTGTGAGAGTTAACCCTTTAACTCCCAGATCAAATTTGTAATTCTCCTTTCTGTCAACCATATAATTCTTATCATGTTAGTTCAGAGAATTTAGTGTTGGATCAACTAGTTATCCACAAATTGATATTTTTCTTTATTCTCAACACTTATCTGGTTGATATTGTATTGACTTTGTAAGGAGAAATTCGGTCTTGGTCACCCATGGGAGTGAAAGAGTTAAGTGTCTTGCCCCAACATTTAACTCAATGATCCGCCCTGAGCATAAACTCAGTTCATTCATTGAGGAATCCAGCCCTCCAACCACCACAACAGTGCAGCATATCTCATAGATTTGTCACAACCAACACAACAGTGCAGCATATCTCATAGATTTGTCACAACCATCACTATTTAATTTATCAAAATTAAAAAAAGGGGCAATGTTCGGAAGGAACAGGATAAAGTGAGTGCTCCAACCATACATAGGTGCACACCCTGTACCTGAAATTGGTCATAAAGAGATTTTCCACTTTGCAAGTTTTTCAATGTCTCTCTTGCTCCATTTTTCCAATAAACACTGCCATGTTGTTGTCCTGTTCCAGAAACACAAGCAATAGCTCCGAATTCCAGACCATTTTCTTTCAGTCTTTTTAAAACAAGGTCAAACGCTTTCACCCACAATAACGTTGGCGCTGTAACAGTTAGCTTATCCTTGTGTTGATGAACGCCGCCCTGCGTTTTAAATTCCGGAAAATCGTTATCGAAGTGCACGGAAGCCTCTGTCACAACTTTAAGATCTTTGTCGATAACTAGTGCTTTCAACTGCTGCGTACTTGAATCAAATCCCATAAAGAGGGGAGCAGCCATTTTGTTTCCTTCCGGAACTGGTTGTTCGCAAATAGTCGGAAAATAATCGTAAATGAGATTCCAGGGCATGCGCGTTACTTCTGATGACCGCGTGCGCTGCCATTTTGAAGCGTTCAGTCAATGTTTGGTGGCTGTCTAACGATCCTTTGCAGTTTTGCATCAACAGTCGACCGATGCCTACTAAACTATTTGTAGGGAACATCTCAGAATCATGCAGTGAAGACGATCTTAAGGAAGCCTTCGAAAAATACGGTACCATTGTGGAGCATGCAATAGTTCGAAATTATGCATTTGTGCATTTTGAGAATAAAGAGGACGCCGAAAATGCGATAAAAGAGCTACATGAAACGGAGCTGAAAGGCAATGTTATTAGAGTATTAATGTCAACCACTCCACATAAGAAGGGCAGGGGAGGTGGAGAAGGAAGAAGTCCGTACCCAAGAGACAGAGCACCGGGGAATTCTCGAGGTCCTCCTCGAGGTGGAGGCGGCGGTGGTTACTACCCTCCCGAAAGAAGCCGCTATCATCCATACTACGATCGCGAGTACTACAGACAAGCACCCTATCCTTCGTCATACAGTCGAAGTTCTTATGGATATTACAGTACATACGACAGTGATTACAGGGACTATCAGCGGTCTTATCCGCCTTCATCATATTATTATGGAGACAGTAGATTTGGCGGGCCTGTTACTTACCCGGACACATCGAAGAGGCAATCGTGGGATCGTTAGCAACCTAACTTGGTTACAGTGCCCTTTTCTTAAAAAAGGGAAAAAAAACCAATGGAGGTCAGTTTGTCCTTGGGCATAAAAAAAGTGCTGTTTTTTGGATTGTAAGGTGCTTTTTTTTTACTTTTGTCTACACACAAAAATGCATGCTGTATACCATAGGAATCGTTCAGACAGGATAAGTGGAAAATCATTATTTGTAATAAATTATACCTACAGAGATGGTTAGCAGAGATCCTGGTGACTCTGATGGCCATACTTCTTTTAGGCTGTTATCTTTTCTGTGTATACTTGTTCAACTGCCCACTAATTTTGTTTATAATTTTATTTAGTTTTGTAAGTGAAGATACAACCATCCCAGAATTAATAATTACACGTCTTTGCCATCACCATATGACAACCTTAATCCTAAGCATATTGCAGGATAGGAAAAGTCCTTGATATCCAATGACATATTGGCTGTTTGTTTTTGTAATATGCAAACTTGAGACAAATAGCAAAGTTGAATCTTTTCCACTTGTGCTCACTAGACTCTGTTTTGTTTGTTAACCCTTGAACTCCCAGATCAAATTTGTAATTCTTCTTACTGTCAACCATACAATTCTTTCAATGCTAATACAGAGAATTTAGTATTTGATCAACTAATAATCCCCAAATTGATATTTTTCTTTATTCTCATTTATCTGGTTGAAATTGTATTGACATTGTAAGGAGAAATTCTGCCCCGGTCACTTATGGGAGTTAAAGGTTTAATTGTGAACATTCTGTGTTGTGTTTTATCAACATTAGGATAAGTTCTTCTATATTGTTAGGCCAACCTCATTAAATATTTTCACCTCCCATTGCCTGGCTGATCCATTTGTTATTAAGAAAGAATCAAAAAGAAAAAAAAAAAGAATTCCATTTGTATTGACTAACTTGCCAAATTTTCTAAAGTAGATTCTCAATTTAATCAAGCCTTTAAATCAGAAACTTTTGAGTTAGGAAAGCAATTTGAAGGGGGCAGCACTCATTTTTTTCTTTTCCAGGACCCACTGACCTACTTTCTTTATGAGGATGGTCTAATTATTCCCTGGCTTTCCTTATTTTCCATACAATGTTGATTGTGGTTGGCTGTCAGAGATTTAACTGGAAGGAAAACTATTATTTGTGAAAACTTTTCTAGTTCTTTTATCTCTTCAAGATTCACACCATGTAGTTGACATAATTTGAGATTAGTTCTGTTCCAATAGTTTGTGAAATTGTATAGCTCTTTCCTGTTGAAATCTAAGTACTCAAGGTATCCTGCAAAGGGGCTTTGTCCAAGTAGATGCTAGGAACTGTTAAAACTTTTAACTTATATTACAAACATTTCTTAGTTAATCTCTAAATAAAATAGGAAAAAATGTGGTGAAACCCCTGCTTTGTTGATTGTAACAACGGTATTCCCACATTTTAATATTCTTATTCTCCATACTGTTATCCCTTTAAGAGCGCTTGTCTGTAAAAATCAGACAAATTCTAAATTTCGCGGCAAGGGTGAAAAATTCGATTTCTTTCTTATTTTAATATTAGATAGGCTAGACTATAACTAAAATCACTGGATACTTTTTTTAGCAAAATATCTTTTTATTTCAGAGAAAATACAAATAACAAAATTCCGTTGAAATCGTCATTTTTAGAAGCAAATTATTGCACAAGTTTGAGGGCTTCGCATTCAAAAACGAATCACAATCTCGTCTTTTAACACTCAAATCTTCTTTTTCAACCTCATAAGACCTCACAAAACGATTTTTGTATACACTGCGTTCCTCTTTGCGTGTAAAATAATTTAATTTCGAAAGCATACATTTCTCTTCAGTAGAAGTACTTTGTGAGCAAAGTTAATTTTCAGCATGTGCTAAACCTTCAAATGGATTAAGCTTTGGGCGGTAGAATAACGAAAAGATGTTCTCAATATTACTGTAAAAATTTCTTTGGGCAAATGATTGAGAGCGATACGAAAGCTTTTCAAAGTCTGTTAAAATGCAGTTATTTGACCTTTCGCGGTCAACATTCCAGTCGCGAGTCACACACATACTTTAATATATCAATTGTTCCTTTACTTTCATGCACCGAGAATATCGCAAGTCACGAGTCGGCTTTCAAATTTACCGGTCCTGAAGATGAGATCGACCTTATTTTGTGCTGAGCGCACATATGTCGGCCCCTCTGTAGTTTAAGGTTTTAAACGGTAGTTGGGTCTATTAACAGTGGTTAATAGTACCACTCCCTTATGCAAGCCCCACCCATTGGCCACGGAACATAGCACCCCGGCCTCACATAAGCCACACATTCCCACCACTACGTTTTGTAGCATGGTGTTGTAAAAATGTACAAAAGGTTCTCTTTCATGCTATTAGGGTATTTCTTGCAATTTTATTGGAAAGAAAAACATCCCTAATAAGTACGACAGGCACAGAGCGCCAAAAAAACAAGAATAATTCCCTGCAATAAATAAATGTATTTTACTGTTTGTCACCAGACAACGATGACACTATTATAAAAATGTTTACAAAATAAAATATTTTGTAGGTTCCAAGAGTTCAATTCTGGAGTTTTGCCCTTCACCTACCCCCTAAAGTTCCTTTGTCACCGGTATTGCGTGCAAGCCAAATACTCAAAGGGCGTACATGTTTGTAGTTAACTCAGTTTAGCATTGAATTATACTGTTAGATGTAATCTTTTAGTGCATTGTAAACTGAGCAATACTCGCAGTCAACTGAACCGTTGAATAAGACGCCACAGTGAAGAAAGATATCGAACGTTTGACAACAAGATGGTGTTCAACAGGGTTGGTGGTTTCATCGGACGTTATCATTTATACAGACCTAAATACGACGAACGACAAGAGAATCACACTAAAATGGTCTCTGGATTGGTCTTCTGTGACAAATGAGGTTAGAGCATTTGGAAATATCTTTCTATGTACATTTTTCGGCCTCATATGGGTTGAAACATATTAAAATATGTGTGACTCGCGACTGGAATGTTGACCGCAAAAGGTCAAAAAAATAACTGCATTTTAACGGACTTTGAAAAGCTTTTGTATCGCTTCAAACATTTGCCCAAACAAAATTTTACAGTTATGTTGAGAACATCTTTTCAAAATTCAACCACCAAAAGCTTAATCCATTTGAAGGTTTGGCACATGGTGAAAATTAATTTTATTCACGAAGTATTTTTACTGAAGAGAAATGCATGCTTTCGAAATTAAATTATTTTAAGCGCAAAGAAGAGCGCAATGTTTACAAAAATCATTTCGTGAGGTCTTATGAGAGCGAAAAAGAAGATTTTAGTGTTTAAAAGACGAGATAGTGGTTCGCTTTTGCATGCGAAGCCCTCAAACTCGTGCAATAATTTGCTGCTAAAAATGACGATTTTAACGGAATTTCGTTATTCGTATTTTTTCTCTGAAATAAAAAGATATTTTGCCAAAAAAAGTATCCAGTGATTTTAGTTATAGCCTAGCCCATCAAACATTAAAATAAGAAAGAAATCGAATTTTCCACCCTTGCCGCGATATGTTTGATTTTTACAGAGAAGCGCTCTTAACTCCTACGAGTCACCAAGATGATTTCTCCATACAATGTAAATACTGTGTCAAGCAGAAAAATTTTGAGAAACATGAAAACATCATTGAGGGGATTATAAGTTCATCCAATACCTAGCCTGAGTATTAGACTTTCCAAGGGTGTCAAGGTGGTATGAGATAGAAGGGAAAGCCTTCCACCTGCTCTTGCTTGGCCCCACCTTCCCTTCTGTTGGAAGGCCTTATACTTAAGGTATCCAATAACAGATTCAGAGGCAGTAAGGAAAATTACGAGTGAGATCTTGAGAGTGAAATGGTTAAGAGCTTCCTACTTTTTTTTTAGATAGAATTCCTTGTCCTGCCATCTGTCATATGATTAAATTTGAATTTGCTTTTTGCCAGAAGAATTACAGACCTCTTAGAAGTGACTTGATACAAACACCTTTTGTCAGAGGATTACAAAGCCAAATATCTAATTTAAACGAATTATGCTCTGTGTTCTTGGTATGAATACAACCTGTGAGATTTATTAATCTTTGGCAACATCTATACCACAAGACCAAAGTTACTGCCCTGTGGGAAAGTATTTGTTTGGGAAGGTGTTAAAGTTGGATGTCACTATTTTGTCATTGAATTTCTTTCAGTCAATATTCATCGTTTTGTAAACTCAAAAGTATATCAACAAAGCATTGTTGTAGATTTCCTGCACTCTTTGTTTTATTGAAAAATTAGGGTGGTAATGTTTGGCCTGTTTTGCTTCCTTGTATGAATCTTGTGACTGAATCAGGGATGCATTTATTTTGAGAATTGATCTTGTAATCACCCTTGATTTATCACAAAGAGAAAGTTTAACGCATTAAACGTCGCAAAAAATTTATGTAATCTGTTGAGTGAAATTAGTAGATTGCCAGAATAAAGTTTGTTTTAATTACCGGTAAATCCTCGAAAAAATTTGGAAGCGAGGGCCTCTATTCTTCCCACAATGCAACGAGGGCTGCCAGAGAGAGGGAGAGAGTGATCATGGCGGATGATAAGGTTCCAGAAAGCTTTGAGTTGCTAGAAAACAATTGAACAGTTTGTAGAAACAACACGTCAAATAGGAATCATTGTCAGTGATTTTCAACCTGGAAGTCAAGGTGTTCTTAATCAGAAAATGTAAGCGACCTATCTTCGAGCGTTCTATGTATAATTTCGGGATGGATTAATACAAAACCGTGATCGCTTGAAATGAAAGCAAAAACTTGGCTTAAATGTATGCTTAAATATGAATGTTCGTCTCCCTCTGTAACTGTTAACATTGGGATTTCGTCAGTCACCTTAAAGAGTGCTAGTTGATCATGAGTAATCTTGCCAAACAGCAGATCGGAATTAATAATTATACACAGATTCCTCCTTCCAGTGACCTATCCACGTCCTATTAGTTTAAACTTTTTTGTTTTGTTTCACAAACTCGATGATGGAAAACATGAGGGAAATAGAGAAATGTAAAGCACGAGTTCAAGATGTAGAGGTTCCGCTGGAAGTATTTGAGTGAGTGCTTTGCTTTTGATTTCCATGTAAACTTATCATAACAGCTGATCATTATAACTAAGACCAAGCAATCATTAAAGTCAAGTATGCCACGAATATCATACTATTTTTTTTTTTCATACTATTTGCGGCATTAAAAAGGAATGCATAGAAACATTATTTTCACTGCGTTTTGAGGTTGCAAAGTGTAATATAACAGTTAAAAAAATTGTATTAAACCGTATTTCCTGAAGTAAGTGCCCAGGAGCTAGTCAAAATTTCGGCTTAAAGGAGGGTGCTTATTGGAAGGAGGACGCTTAATCAAGGGAGCCCTTGTTAAAAATTCTCCTTTCAATGAAATGAAACTTTATTTTGGCCTCAAAAAACTACAAAATTGTCCACGTAGATGTAAAGTCAATATGGTCATGTTCAGATCGAGCTATCATTCATCACAGAGCTTTCAATAAGACCCCAGCACTATTAAAACTATATTAAACTGTCTTTTAAACCGTTGAGTACATTAACTAATGAATTAACACCAGTTAATATGAATTTTTTAGACCACGATATGTAAAAACATTGAAATGTGAAAGTGCCATGAATACAGAGTGACTTATTTTTTAATCAGGAGATTCATAGACGAATATATTGACCAAAGTATTTCAAATCCTTGAGACGGTTCGTCAAATGTTCCCAAAAGGAGTAGAAGCGATTTTAGCACTCATGAAAGAATCTGTTATCGGAAAATACTGTTTCTTGCATTTAAACTGAAGCAAGATACATGCATCTGGTATGAAATAATAGAAGTTTTACCGACAACTCACGAATAAGGTGGGTTTAAATATTCAAAATATTTATCTATCGGGTCCATTTTATTTTTTTAGGACAACAGTGCTTAAATAAACGATAAAATTTATTTCGAATATTTCAATGAATCAATTTTTAGCAAAAATTTGTTTTCTGCAAAATCACCGAAGAAGTGTGCGTTGGTCAGACGAAACTTATCGGGATATCAGAAACATCCTTTTTTTCAGAACTTTTAAGTTTGAAGCCCAGCTCGAGCGCTAGCGGCCGTCTAGTTTTACGCTCCAAAGTTAAGTCCAATGAATTGTCTCTCAATGGAGGCCACTTCTTTCCATAAGTTGTAAAAACGAGTGATAGAGCCATGTGTTTAGATTGTAGTGATTGTTTATTCATAGTATATCACGACTCAGTTTCATTTCGTACAGAGGAACATCTTTATGACTTGACGGCTGTTATTGATCCACTTTACTGCCGATTGTTGGTATAACAAACTGAAGTTTTGACCATTAACTGACGATTAACCCTATTGAGATCACCATGTAGCGGTGCCAAAAGCTGTATCATTTCGTTAACAAGAAGAACAAGGTATACATTTGGTTATAACGTAATCATTCGGGAAATAACTATAAGGATAATCTTCAGTTTTGGAAATCCCTTATAGGTTGTCCAATAGAGGAACGTATGACGGCTGGGTTTAAATGCATAGTTTTAGTTTCGAACAGGAATGTCTTTCACGATAAGGCTCACTGATAAGTAACGGTTTGCAGGTATCATACGAGTCAAAAGAGAAAACATGTAGTATTACAGACTCTTTGGAAAAATAAGAGTCGAGCGATTGTCATGTTGAAAAGCTTGAATACCGCGGGCTCACTGAAAAGCCCGGGCCTTGCACAAAGGTGAGAGTGAAAGGAGAGTTTTAAGTCTTTCATTTCTTTCTGTGGTGACGTAAGAAGTCTCAGCCAAATTTCTCGCCATACTTAATTGTTTCCTTGACGCGTCTTTCAACGAAATTCATAGCATCTTATTCAATAGAGAGAGAGAGAGAGAGAATTTGACATAACTAAAACATATCTGTCCATTTCATTTTTCTGCGTCAGTTTCCAATATCAGCTTCCTGTGTAGCCGAGAAAATGATGGCGTGCGAAAACAAAACATGTAAGTTTGCCAAAAGTTAAAATTTTAGTTTTGTTCATAAACTTTTATTTAAACCTGAACAATCGAGTAACCAGAAGTCCTCAACCTAAGGTATAGAGCGATTTTCATCTAATCGAAAATACAAACAGTATTGAAACGATGGATACTCTCAAGGAACTACTTGTGCCTAAAGCATTCAACAAATATAGCCACTTCGCAGTCGTTTCAATTTGGTTCGTGATGGGTGCAACCTTCCTCGGCATTTTTATTGAAGTGGAAAACACCGAACCCAGGTTTGATTTCCGTTGTGGTGGAGCGAAGACTGAAAACATTGATCTCGTCCGTGGAAAATGTTTCCGGCAATACATGAAGCAGTACAACAAATACGGTGTTCCCGTCTATGGCTTCGTGATCATCAATTTCTGCCTTATTGCTGCTGTATATGCTGTGTACTCCCAAATAGTGAAAAATACAGTCAATGAACTGTCATCAAGCACTGGCAACGGTGACCCTGAGAGTCAGTCGGGCGACCAAGAGAATAAAAATTCAAAGGGAAAACAGCTTTTCATCGCTTACTGTTGCCAACTATCCACGAGACTTGTTTTAGGAGTTCTTTTCATGATCCTTCAAACTCAGTTGCTTTATCCTCTCGAGTTTTCCTATACGTTTGACTGTTATTTACCCTCTAGAACCAATCAGCCAAGGAATTCATCGGACGCCACCCAAAACTCTGCTTTTCACGAATGTAGCAATCAACGAGCGGAAAAGAAAACCTTCTGGATGAACGCTATTCTTGTAGTGAATGGAATTTTTGTCGCTGGTATTCTTATTGAAACCATCTACATTTTGTCACGGGCATGCATAGAAAAAAAGTTCATGAAAAACTCAAAGTTTCTTGAAACACATCTAAATCCCAGTCATGGAAAATCCCATCAGAAACCTCAAAGGCAAGAAGAAAGAATAGAACAAGTTTCACAACAGTTACGAGTGCCAGAAAACTGTTCGAACCGAGGCGAGTTGCACCTAGAACCTCAGAGGCAAGATGATGTCGTCCAACCACAACCACACGAGCGTGAACACCGTCCAACCCAAGTCGAGTTACACTCAGAACCTCAAAGACAGGATGATGTTGCATCGAGAGAGCGAGAACACCGTGCGACGCAAATTGAGTCCCACCAAGAACCTCAAAGACAAGATGATGTTTTCCCACTACAACCACGGGATGAAATCGAGTCGCATCAAGAACCTCAAAAGCCGAATAGAAGGAGCGGACATGATGATGTTCCTCTGACACAAAGGGAACCAGAACAGCTCCAAAACTCAAATCTTCAACGATTCATTGCGAAAACAAAGGAAATAATCCAAGAAGACGCCCAAAACCTTTTTGAGCTCCAATCACCTTTTTTAGGAAACCCAGGCGAACAAACGGCAGTTAAACATTTGACTTTGGATCAGATTTACACAAATCTTACGGTTATTAATGATAGAGATACATATGACTTTACTGAAGACAGACAGGAGCAACTCAAAGTTTACCCAAGGTCGCGCAAGGGAGAATCACAACCCAAAGGCTTAGAAGACCTCCTAACGGATAAAAGCAGGAAAGTTTTGGTTGTTGGTCGTCCCGGAATCGGCAAAACATTATGTTGTATTAAACTTCTCAGAGACTGGGCATTTGATGACGTTTTTAAAGCGACATCTAATGCTGAAACGCACTTTGACGCTGCCTTCTTTGTAAAATTCAGGAGATTCAACTCAACCGACGTCCTGAACCTTAGGGAACTATTGATTCAGTCAGAGCATTTTCCCCCAGACCACCTGGATGATAAAGTCTGGAAATACATCCTGCAACACCCTAAACGCGTCCTCATACTTTTTGACGGATTCGATGAATTCAAACATGATGCTAAGATCGTTCAGGCGCCTCCTCGTCCCAGCGTAGAACAGCAAATGCCGCTCCGAATCCTCTATCACTGTCTTGTGCACGGAAAACTCCTCAAAGATGCCTCAATTGTGACCACAACGAGACCTACGGCTTTGCCGAGCATCAGACGCCTTCCATTCGACAAAATCTGCGAGATTTTGGGGTTTTCAACCGAGCAAATTGAAGAATATGTCTACAAATTTACGGGAGACGACAAGCAAGCAGGCGAAACACTATGGCGACACATCAACAGCAACATGAACTTACTTTCGCTCTGTTATATCCCAATGAACAGCTTCATCGTGTGCTCAAGTCTGTTCCAAATATTGCAGTTCGAAAGTTCCGCGGGTGTTACCCTCCCCTCCAAATTAACCGAGATATACAATATTGCAGTGAAAGTGTTTTATTTCAGACACACTAAAGAATTCCGCGATACTGATTTCACTCGTGAACACTTTGAATCTGATGAATTGTCCTTAGATGTGGAGGAGAAATTCGAGAAACTAGGAAGAGTGGCGTTTGAAGGAATCAAAGAAGGAAAACTGATCCTTGAAGGAAACGAAGTGCGCGGAATGGAAGACAACGCGCTTTTTCACCGCTTACCCGATCGTAAAACCAGCGCGCTCAAACATGAACGACAATTCTGTTTCATTCATCTGACAATGCAAGAGTTTTTCGCTGCGAGGCACTTGGCAAACAACACGAGTGAAACAGAATTGAGGAACTTTGTTTCCGAGAACATCAAGAATGGTAAATGGCAGCTGGTTTTTCAGTTTCTGGCGGGACTAATGGAGGATAAAGTTCACCTACCAAGCGAAATCATCACTGACCTTCTTCCTGTGAAAACTGAAATGAAAGAAAGCGCCGACTACAACGAAGAGTGGACAGAGAATGAAGACAAAATGGTGACCTGCTGGCCGACTGAAGACGAACGGGATTTAGCGGTGACGTTTTTTAAATGTAGTAACGAAAGTGATAAGATGGAGTCGATAGTTCAGAGAAAACTTCAACAAATTAACTTTAATTTTGTAAATTTTATTCGTGGTCACCTCACAGCTGTTGATTGCTCTTCGTTAGTAAATGTAATTAAGAATGTTCAACAAATTTCACATTTAGATTTGAGTCACAATAACATAGGTCCATTAGGTTGTTTTGAGATTTGTAAATTGTTAAAATGTAAGGAATCTCAACTGAGCTGGTTAAACCTCAAACACAATCAATTGAAAGATGAAACAGCAAAGTATTTAACTGAAGCCTTCAACAACAACAGCTGTCAGCTACGCACGTTAGACCTCTCAGAAAATAACATCTCAGACATTGGAGCACAGCACTTGGCTAAAGCCATCAACAACAACTGTCAGCTACGTACGTTAAACCTCTCACTAAATAACATCTCACACCTTGGAGCACAGCACTTGGCTGAAGCCATCAACGACAACAACAACTGTCAGCTACACACATTTAACCTCTACAGAAATAATATCGCAGACATTGGAGCACAGCACTTGGCTGATGCCATCAACAACAACAACTGTCAGCTACTTACATTAAACCTCTCAAGAAATAACATCTCAGACATTGGAGCACAGCACTTGGCTGAAGCCATCAACAAAAACTGTCAGCTACGCACGTTAGACCTCTCAATAAATAACATCTCATACATTGGAGCACAGCACTTGGCTGAAGCCATCAACAACAACAACTGTCAGCTATGCACATTAAACCTCGCATTCAATGACATCTCAGACATTGGAGCACAGCACTTGGCTGAAGCCATCAACAACAACAACTGTCAGCTACGCACATTAAACCTCGCATTCAATGACATCTCACACATTGGAGCACAGCACTTGGCTGAAGCCATCAACAACAACAACTGTCAGCTACGCACGTTAAACCTCTCATTCAATAACATCTCAGACATTGGAGCACAGCACTTGGCTGAAGCCATCAACAACAACAACAACTGTCAGCTACACACATTAAACCTCGCATTCAATGACATCTCTCACATTGGAGCACAGCACTTGGCTGAAGCCATAAACGATAACAACTGTCAGCTACGCATGTTAAACCTTGAAGAAAATAACATCTCAGACATTGGAGCACAGCACTTGGCTGAAGCCATCAACAACAACAACTGTCAGCTACGCACGTTAAACCTCACAGCAAATAACATCTCAGACATTGGAGCACAGCACTTGGCTGAAGCCATCAACAACAACAACTGTCAGCTACGCACATTAAACCTCTCACACAATAAAAACATCACAAAAGCAGGTAGACGACATGTACATAATTTATTAAGCAAGAGTCAGTCTAAGTGTGAGCTAATTCTTTAGGTCTCAGCAAAGTTATCAACGAATAAATTTTTTAAGCCAATTAAAACTTGAGTTGTCATATATCTATTCCTTTGGTTAGACCTAACTTGAAAGCTGTGGAGAGGGGTGGGGAAGCAGAGGGGGGAGGTGTAACCTTCTAAATATCAGACTGGAACAAAATAAATTTACAAGAGAGACATGCCTCCATTCCTCTATAGAAACACTTATCACTTACTCTTAACCCACAGAGTCCCAATATATGACTGTTAACTCTCCTCTTTACCTGTTGCAAATTAGTAATGAGAATTTGGAGATAGATCAAGATAACCACTTTTGCTTGCAAAGTTTGTGTATTCTGATTACCTGTTTGCGGCATAATGTATGCATAATGTAGATTCTAATTTGTATCCCAAACCAACAGTAAATATCTTATTCCCTTGAATAAGCATCCATAATCCTACCCCAAATAAGTTCCCACCCCCTTAATAGGCCGTAATATCAAGCAAATGTGCCCCCTCCTCCCTCACTCACCAAAGTAGCAGGGATACAAAGGAAACCTGTTTCTATTGCCACTTAATGTATAACTTGCTTTAACTGAAGTAGAATCAGTAATTTTCTTAATAAGCAACCCCCCTCCAATAAACGAGGGGGGGGGGCCTTTCCCTCCAATAAGTGCCCCTCCTTGAGACCAGTATTTTGAATAAGTTTACAAGCATTTATTCCAGGAAATGCAGTATTTTAGTTAGTGTAAAATGTCAACAACATGAAATAAATGTCACATTTTTATATCTTGAATAAGTTCCTGGCCACTTATGTAGAATTTTGGTCAAAATTAATGGAGTAGGACACGAAATAACCTTTTTTTTTTTCAAGCAAGATTTACAGAATCAGTTAACCTTGGTGTAAAAAGTAAAAAAAAAAAAAATTAAAGGAAAGAAAATTATCAGAGATACAGATGAAATCCACCTGTACAAACTCTGTCTGAAAAACCAATCTTTTCTTTAATTTCATCGCAATGTTTGTTACAGAATAACCATGTGTGTACTTTGAAACTGGAAATTATGTATTAAGGTTCAGTTCATCATTTCCTCAAAAAACTATTTACCCTTTAACTCTTAAAATTCATCAAAAATAAATTTCTTCTTTCAAAACAATTCATTCACTAAGCAGAAAGGTAATGACAGTGAGGCTAAGAGAAAGAATAAAACATCAGAAACTACCGATAAATCCTCGAAAAAATTTGGAATCGAGGGCCTCTATTCTTCCCACAATGCAACGAGGGCTGCCAGAGAGAGGGAGAGAGTGATCATGGCGGATGATAAGGTTCCAGAAAGGTTCGAGTTGCTAGAGCAAACAATTGAACAGTTTGTAGAAACAACACGTCAAATAGGAATCATTGTCAGTGATTTTCAACCTGGAAGTCAAGGTGTTCTTAATCAGAAAATGTAAGCGACCTATCTTCGAGCGTTCTATGTATAATTTCGGGATGGATACAAAACCGTGATCGCTTGAAATGAAAGCGAAAACTTGGATAAAATATATGCTGAAATATGAATGTTCGTCTCCTTCTGTAAATGTTAACATTGGGATTTCGTCAGTCGCCTTAAGGAGTGCTAATTTATCATGAGTCATCTTGCCAAACAGCAGATCGGAATTTATAATTAGACACAGATGCCTTCTTCAATTCCAGTGGCCTATCCACGTCTTACTAGTTTAAACTGTTTTTTGTTTTGTTTCAGAAACTCGATGATAGACAACATGAGGGAAATAGAGAAATGTAAAGCACATGTTCAAGATGTAGAGGTTCCGCTGGAAGTATTTGAGTGAGTGCATTGCTGTTGATTTCCATGTAAACTTATCATTACAACTGGTCATTATAACCGAGACCAAGCAATCATTAAAAGTCAAGTATGCCACGAACATTATACTATTTTTATCCGCAGCATTACAAAAGAATGCATAGAAACATTTTCACTGCGTTTTCAGGTTGCAAAGTGTAACATAACTGTTAAAAAAATTGTATTAAACCGTATTTCCTGAAGTAAGTGCCCAGGCGCTAGTCAAAATTTCGGCTCAAAAGAGGGGTGCTTATTGGAAGGAGGACGCTTAATCAAGGGAGCGCTTGTTAAAATTTTCCTTTCAATGAAATGAAACTTTATTTTGGCCTCGAAAAACTACAAAATTGTCCACGTAGATGTAAAGTCGATATGGTGGTGTTCAGATCGAGCTATCATTCATCACAGAGCTTTCAATAAGACCCCGGCGCTCGCCAGAGTTCTGGGGATATTCTGTTGTAAATCACTGGGTATACTTGGCCACATCTAAGTCAAATTTACAGAACAAAATTTTAAAAAATCAGTAACGTAGAAAGTAAGAGGCAATTTGGTATTTTTTGGAGCATTGATCTAATCTATTTTCCAATTTCTGTGGTCTTTGATTTTTAGATTCATTCTTTCACTGGCAATTTTTTTTTCTGCTCGTTCACGTTTTTCATAAACTTAGATGTACACATTGTCAGTTACCTAAAAAAAATTCTCAAACAATTTTGCGTTGAACTAAAATCCCCAAATATTTTTTGACAAATAAAACAACAGCAGAGGCACAGGTAATTCACATTTGGAACTTTTTTCAAAGATGTTAAGTTTCCATTAAAAAATGCTTAACCGAGGCATTACAAAGACACCCATTGAATGTTTAGTGTCTGACCTTTTTATCAAAATAAGCTTGCTGTAAAAAGCAAAGAAGACCATGGTCTTAAAATTATTGGTTAGTGGGAACATGGTTAAGTGACTTTTTGTGATTTTTCATAAAGCATGCTGAAGCTCAATTGTTTATGATCTTGTGTTAAACATGAGCTGTTGGAACAGTTAGAATTCATTGGCTGAATGATTTCATTCAATTATCTTATGTGAACATTAGTGGCTGATGCATTAGTGATGAAACACTTCTGCAAATGAGAATACTCCAAGGGTTTTTCCAATAAATAAAACCTATGGAGTTCATTGCTGTATATCTTTAATTTCACTCAATCACAAAATATGCATTCTGTATTTCAAGGCAGAAGACACAGAGGGGGCATTTCAAATTAAAGCAGAAGAAGACTCTGTTAACAAAGATCATGGCATTAGAATGCAAATAGTTAAAGAAACTGTGAGTCGAAAAGTGATGTACAAATGGAAGACAATAGAATCTGGCTTGGCCAGGTGAAGAAAGGTTTAGATCACAACATCAAAATTTGAGAAAATGTGTACACAGAAATTTGACAGACACAATACGTTATCTTGTATTGTTTTTGTAGACTGCCTTTTTCAAGTGTTTAGTCTGTTTAGAATTATATGATGTTGGATGGTTACCCTCATTTTGGCTCCTTCTGTGACTTTTTGGAAGCTTTCAAGTAAACACCTCAAGAGCTTTTCAAGTTCATTCAGTTGACTTTTGCCTTTATAAACAAGTTTTGATAAAAATTGATTGATATTGTCTTATCATATACCACATTTTCAGCAAAAGAAGAGAATTGGGTTTCCAAGAACATACTGACTCAAATTTTGGTCACCAGTAACCATATGTCTCTGCAGAGGACTTTTGTGTGAAACCCCTGCAGCAGGTTTCCATGTCAGCAAATGAAAGATTTTGATTAGAAATAAAACAATCGGTCAAACAATTGTTACAAAGAGACAAATATTTATGATCATTTGCCAAAGTTTAACACCAAAAACTCTGTTTGAAGCCAGTCTATGTGGAATAGAATTAATGGCTTATGGAAGGGAAATCACTTTTCAAAGTATTCTCAACAAATGCTTTACTGAGGTAGCCACCTGTTTCAAATCTTATCAAAAGCACTGCGTCATCAACTGTTTTCTACAAAACCATCCCAATAAATCTATTATCTTATAAATTACTGGTCCTGGAGGACAAGGAAATAGTCTAGCTGTTCCTGGTTAATTTATGGTATTAACTGAACAGGGTAATAGGAAAAAAAAATTAAAGGACAGATAACGCACATAAAGGAACTCTGTAAGCATTAGGAGATAAAAATAATTGAAAGAGAAAGTATTCTCCTTTGCTGATTTTGCTGTAATTGAAACAGAAAAAAAGTCAGATTAAGTGGCAATAGAACTGTTTTCCTCATACTCCCACTATCTACATATAAGATAGTGACTAAGGAGGAGGGGGGATACTTATTCTAGAAGGGGGAGTTTGATGTTATAGCATATAGGGTTGGGCACTTATCAGTGGAAGTACAGTATGTTTGGAGCCCAGTGCTCCGTTCATAGGCTGATAAACCAGCAATTCATTTTTTTTTTAGATACTGGAGCTCATTATACCTTTGATTCAAACTTAGTAAACCGTGGTGCTATATTTTCTGATAATAGGTACATAGATCAGGGAAGAAATCCTCAGCTGTATACTAAAGACTGTCTTGAGAAAGCACTAGAAAAAAATCAGCAAGTGAATGGCAAAATAGATGCTTACAAGGTGAGTTTTCCTTTCCTGATAATCTTTGTGGGTTATCAACAGCAAGTTAATAATGGTTGGGAAACTTTTGTAGCAAAAACAAATTGGCACCATGTAAAAACACTATAAATGAGCTTCAGAGGAAAGGAGGACTACAGGGAAGGCTACTTTGCCGGAATATTCTGAACTGAGGTGAAATTCTTTGAAATTCTGAAAGATATGTGAGGAAAATGCAGTTCACCTGACTTAACACGAGAAAGGTTAGAAGCATTGCAGAAAACCTCTTCCATTTTTCTAAATTTGAGTTACAATTTTTCTCTTCCTCTTGTATTCATGCATGGCATTCATGATTTCACAAATTGGCCAATCACATCAAAGGAATTTAACCTTGACATTTTTCATGTATTTTTAGTTTGTTTTCATGGAGTTTAAGTTGTTTTTTAGCTTCTGTTTGCGTAAATTTGTCACTGCTTTGTTTGGAATTTAAAGAAGTTTCAGAGTTTTTAATTTAGTCAAATGTTGAGGTTCATTTAATAAATTTAATACATAGTCTTTGAAAGCATCATGGGAAGATTACCTCTGAGTTTCACTCACTGTCAATGCTTGTTTTCAACAAAACTACCATGCACTGCATTGTAAGCATTTACTGAAACCATATGCTTGTTTTGTTGTGTACCACTATTGGAGTAAATGATGATGACTTTTTCCCCATTTAAACAGAACTTCAAGTCACTTCTTGTTGACGAACTTTCAAAGCATTTTCCCAAGGAAATTGATGAATACCAGAACATCAAAGAGCGGCAGATGAAGACATGATTCTGGATTGAGATTCTATTTTATTAGAATGTAACCAGTTTGTAAATAATTATGTAAATAAAATCCTGGTTGGCAGCTAAACCTCCTCTGTCTCTATGGCCTATATGCTTGTCAAGGCTGTTTACTAGTTTGGAGCCCATCTGCAAAGAAAGGTCTTTTAAAGTTTTTTTGACCACAAGTCATGCCTGTCACAAGCTCCCCCACCCCAACATTTAGATGTCTGCAAGGGAGGATCAAATCATGACAGCTCTACAATTAAAAGGTTTACACCCACATGTGATTCCTGTCACATTCCTTGATGCAGTTATTGTGCAGCTTCTTCAATTAAAAATTTTTATTCCCAACTAGAGATTTCAATATAAATTTTATCATGATAACTATTTCAGACAACTTCATTGTTACTGTTGATAGAAAAGCTGCTCTGTATGTATCCTACAACAACAAGCACATTTCCTTTATTACTTAACAACATTCTTTGCCAGGGGGGTGATGTAATGCATCATGGTGTTTTGAAGACATTTAGAAACAAAATAATGCATCCATCAAAAATGCTAAAAGACAGACACTATAGTTGCTAGCCTCATAAAGTACCATTTTAATCTATGCAAGATGAATTAACATTAAAGAGATGTCTTGACAGGGTTTTTGTTCATAATGTCAGCTGGCTGAGGGAACCACTCAGAGTTGTAGAGTGACAATTATTTTCTTCAAAATGAGGAAGAAGTACCCTTAAGAAGAGAAAGAAGTCCAGATAATACCCATAGAAAAGCGGTTTAGGCTCTCCATTCATTACATACAATTAGTACAGGAATCCATAAAGAGCAAGAAAAAGAAGTTCCAGACCAGACAGATTCAATACATTATCAACTTGGTTAATGTAACCAAATTATCCGGTTAATGAAATACCTGTATTAAATAAATTTAAGCAGTGTTGCTCTGATATCACAGAACACTAACACAGTTTGAAGCATGGTCAATATTTATAACTTCACTTAATTATTTTCAACTTATGGCAGAATAAGATTCTGTTGTTTGAGTCTCCTTCAAAGAGGCCTTCGATGTACATGCCACAGAGGGCTATTTTCATCTGTATGACACCCTCCAAGCAGCATACTGTATTCCTTACATTTCTGTTTCCTCCTTTGAATAGTCTTGGCCTGATACTTCACTCCACATTTTTTCCCATGAATGGAGCTGACCACCATCAATAATTCAAATCTTAGTGACACACTTTAATCAGCTAGAAGTAGTAGATGACGAGGAACACTCACAAAAGGCCTGTGGAAATATGGTAGCTTGTTCAAGTCCTTGTTTTGCTTGTTCAAGTTCTGAGTTTAATCTGCTTGTTGCTTGCTCAAACTCTGCATTGAGCCTACTTGTAGCTTGTTCAATGTTAGCAGCCAAGTCTTGAACCTCTTTGTTAATTTTTGTTATAACCATCTCCATAGCTTCTCTTCCCTGAAGAAAAAAATTAAATTCTTGTATCACACATTAAAACATACCAGTAAATTTTATTTTTTTTAACAATCATTACAAATATATTTAAGGAATATTTACTTTTGATTTGTTATCCATACCTTTGATGCATTACTGGCCATTGTATTTTTGATAAGACTTTCACAGTAGTCTTTGAAACTAACTCCAAAAACCTTGATTACAGCATCTTGTGTAAGTCTGGTTCTAGAAAATTAAAATTAATAGAATAAATTAAACCAAACCTTTCACTGATTGAATTAAGCAGTACTATTCATTAATAGCTCTTCCTTGAAAATAGGCTTATCCTCTAGGATGACCCTCAATGATAAGAATGATGATGATAAATGCTGAAGGGAAACTGAAATTCTTCAAAGGAACCCAAGAGGATATTATAAAGATTACTTCAAGGCGAAAAAATACATTCCTCTTTGACTCACTTGTTAACTTCTTGGTCTTGAGTATAAGTTACTGTCTCATCTACATCCGCCCAGCCTGACAGTGTTACATTCCTACTAGTCATTGTCATTGTCTTTTTAACTGGATCAACAACAGAGTGTTCATAGGCATAACAGAGGTTATCAACTCCAATCATGTTACAAACCCATGAAGGTAAAAATCCCTCAGTGCCTACAAGTCTAGTAGTGTGTAATTGTCCTTGTTCATCAACATGTCTCTCCAGAACATCCATAGTTTTCACATTAGGATTGAGATCATTAGGATACTTTCTCCATACTGCTTGAGTGACACGATCCCAGCAGTGACTTTGAGAAAAAAATAATAACATTAGTTACTACCATGAGAATGCTGAAGATGTAAATAATTAAATTTTTTTACCATAGCCTCTAAGAGAGACTGACACCTAAGTACCGAGGTTAACTTGTATGTCAAAGTCACTCTGTTGCAAATCATTGACTGTGATTATGTGTACTTTTTAGAACTAAACCTTTCCATGGGTGCTATTTCAAATGAAATTTCTCTTCTCTTTAGCTCTTGGTTTAGTTTACCTTCACAAAGAAAGCAATTTCACATCTTAAATCAGTGACAATCTAAGCATCTACTTGGAACTTTCGTTTGAAGCTGGTTTAGAATCTTTGGATCTTGCATCATGGAATGAAGTTCATTTTTTAACACATTTTATAAGATAAAACATTTATGGTTTACAGAGAATTCCTTTTGCATGAGTGGTTTTGATGAAACAGATTTCCCAACAGAATGCAGGAAAAAAAACAATTCAATTCTAGCATTAAGCATTGTTCAGTGATTAGTATTGCTTCAGAGACACCTATGTTGATCTGAATTAGAATATTTAGATGAACATTCTTAGCTAAGAATTATTAAATTAAATATTAAAGAGTCATCCCTGGGAAGCTTGTTGGTTATATAACATTGCTAGTAATGAGGAAGTAACAAAATAGCCACTAAGGATAACCCTAGTCAGTCTGATTAATTGCAAACAAAGTAGAAACGCAACCTTCCGACACACTTTTATTGTACTTCTAGCATATGTATCACCCCTACCAAGCAGTCAAACTGTGCATGAAGCTACCTCTCAGTCTTGTCTTTAAGTGATAGTTCAGCCACACCAAGTGGAGTGCAACAAACAAAATGTTGACTAAAAATGTCTGATATTGGAGCTAAGGCTTAAGAATTAATGAACAACCAAACAAACCATGTTAAGCCTAGTTCAGACACTGTACTTCAGCCGCACCAAATCAAATTCCTCAATAGGCTGACCTAATTTAGGTAATCCTGGCTGAATTGAGTCAAAGGCTGAACTAGTTCAGATGCTCAACTTTATTTGGCCAAAATTAATTAATCAAAGACAATTAATATTCTGTCATTGGTTTAGCATACAATTAAAAACATGGCAGACACCATGGATTTCAGAAGCAATCTGCAAGCAAGAGACTTTCTTCTACTCAAAATGCTGGAAAACAGTGTAAAAAGAAGAAGAATACAAACCATCTTAGCCTATTTTGCAGCCAGAAGAAGATAAGTGATAACCGTCTCATCATACTTCACATGAACTTAATTCATTGAATTTGATTCTGCTCAGCTGAAGTACAGCATCTGAACTGGACCCTAACTACAATCATTATGATGAATGATATAGTTTCACAAGTTCAGAGGCTGTCTCCATACTTAAAACGTCCAGTATTATGAACATCGACTGAGGCAAAGTCGACCTCAAACATATTATAAAATCTACTTTCCCAGTTTTTTCACTTAAGGGCTCCCAATACACAACAACTTCACATGTCGATGGTTACGTAATGGGGAGGGACTGAAGTGTTGGCTGCAGCGTTATTTACTTTCTCATGCCAACTCAGCGGAGAAAAAAAATTGTACACTTAAGCCTTGAGCAAGGATTTCTGACCTATGGAAGACAGAAAGTGATGTTTCACAGTAAACTTCTGCCGAAAATTAGCAAGATTGCAATCAAGTCAAGTTTCACGTTGCTATAAACATTTAAGAGGGCACTTGTTTGTACATGCATGGTTGAATTTTCAAACGAAAGAAAAGTTTCAAACCCATTAAACCATAAATCAAGGAATAAAAATTTCTACTTTAAGCTTAAAGCAAAGAGGCCTCAGTTGTTTGATTACAAAATGGACATGATGTGGAGTACGTTTCCGACATCACACGTGAGTTTCAATTTATAGCACGTGAATGTATGGGGACTTCAGAAATCGACACACATTTTTTAGCTTAAAGTTGATGAAAAAGGAACAAAATGGTTTATAACTCACTTGAAGATATGTTCTGAAGACCAAAATTTCATAGCTCAGGATCAAATGTTGTAGAGAGTGTCTTACCGCTGAAATTACGTACAACAAGTCTAAAGTTTGCCACTGACTTCACGTCATGTGCAGTGAACAAAGTCCGATCTTACGCAACTGTACGATTTGATTGGTCGAAGAACATTATGCAATTAGGATATGCGGATGACGCAACAAGATGACAGGAAAATTTTGGAAAACCGAAGTGCACCGTGGGACATGTTAAAGTTACATGAATGTCATAAAGCTACAGCAGATATCCGCTGACGTAGATTCAAGATGGCGGCCTTCAAACCGTGTACCGTTCTTTACAATGCCTTAGGATCAAATTTTCGTTCTCTCCTTTGACGAAGTTTCTCTTTTTCCCATTACAAATTATGGATGACTATGGAGAAGATGTTGGATGGGACGAAGCAGCTGTAGGTTGAGATTTTCTCTTTTCTGAATGCCTTATTTAATATGTCCTACTTCACGATTGGTACAAATACAAATACAAAGACTTTATTTAAACACGATAATTGTTAAAGCGACTACACTACACTACTTTACTTGTGGTAAGCTGGCTTGCTTATTGAACGTACATTTTCCTTTTTTTATTGTTTAGCTGAGTCCGTCCGATGAAAAAAGGGACAATGAAGTTGTTATACAAGAATGTATGCAAAACTTTGCCACAAAAGACTTTATCATGGAACCGGAAATTTTCAACAATATCAGGAGGTCAGCATCTATGAGGCTTAGATTGGTTATTTCGTTAAGACAAGGTTCAAAACAAACGAATTTTTTAAGCAACACAGCTACGTTCGAAAATTGGTAGCTTATTCAGGGCTCAGTGTAAATGAGGAAAAGAGCTGGTGAGAGACAAACAGCAGTTGCGGTTGTTAGGGAAGTTGTTGCGGTATACTATTGTTTCTTACAATTTTAATTCCTCTACTGCCCGCTCTCCATTTACAGTGGGAAAACAAGCTGGGAGCCTAGACCAGCCTTGAATATTAGAAAACATGAGTTACATAACTCTGATAAATTGCAGCACTAAAAAGCTAGACTAAATGTTATGATAACATTACAAGTGGTATATTACTGCCAAAATTTATCCCCATTATTTTCCTTTTTGGACAAGATTTGTCCATCACAGGTAACACCCCAGAATGTTGATATATTTCTCTGTTTATACTATATGGGAAGACAGGCACTATGCTAGTTGAGTGTCTTTTCTTAACAAGGTTAACCCTTATATTTTTGGTGATAAAGGCAGTGGGCCAAATAATAAAACTACATTGATATGTTACTATGTTTTCCTGGTTATACTCAATGGGAAGACAGGCACTGTACTAGTTAATTGTCTTGTCTTGACAAGGTCTACAGTAACTTCTTTGTTGATTAAGGCAGTGGGCCTTATGATCAAGTCATGTTTCAGATGTCCAGGTCCTGGTATGTTGTCCATCTCTATTGTTCTCTATTGTGTTCTTAATGTGTAACTTGTAACTTCAAAAATAAATGTAAATATTATATTGTAGATATTACCAGGCAGGAGGGATCCATGAAGAAATGGCAAAGATGTTATCTGAAAATTATACTGGAATTGCTCAGAGTACAAATCTCATTGCTAACTGGTTGATTGTAACAGGTAAGGTAATTATATGATACTACAATGTTGTGTTGTGAGATCATGATTTGTCTTTGACTTTGCCATAATCACATAAAAGTGAAGTATACATTACTGCTTAACAATGATTTCCAAATATTCTCTGATTTTGTATTGCTACCATGTGAAACTAAACTGATAAACTTTCTAGAGTTTGAGAACCACTTGAGGTCCAAGTGAAACATGCTGTTCAAACAGGCATACTATTATTAATGGCATTTTACAAAGAATTTTAAAGTTTACATATTGAGGTTGTGTTGGCATCATCACACATGTCATTAATATTTACTAAGCCAGAGAACATTTCATTTCCCATGGTCTTTGATAAAAAAAATAGGATTGCTAACTTTAACTGTTATTTTCACAGGAGCTAAAGTGACAGATGTTGAACAAATGGTTGAAAATCATCTGGAAACCCTAATTATCAAACACTTTGATCCAAAAAAGGCTGACTCAATTTTTTCTGCAGAGGGAGAGGTAAGGAAAAAGCTAGCTGTAGAATACCTGTTTGATGCTCTTCATGGCAGAAAAATCCAAACCTCTTAGTCCATCACATTTACCACTTGGTTATGTTACTGGTGAAAATGGAATTCAGGTCGTAGAATTCACCTAGTGGATGTCCACTGAGAAATGTGACATTCAGTTTATTCATTTATTTGATTGGATGATGTTCCATTATATTGAATTTTCTCTTGTTCTGTTGGCAGACACCTTCCTGGCTAGAAGACATGATTGTTCACCAGACATGGCGTTCAATGTTTTATAAGCTGGCAGAGCACTATCCTGACTGCCTGATGCTCAATTTTACTATCAAGGTTTGATAACTTTTTCATTTTCATCAAACTCAGTTTAAAAGTTTTTGTACTAAATTTTTTCTGTGCTGAACTATAAACAATTAGTGCTCTTTATCTCACCTATCTCTGTATATTGTTTGTTTTTGGAACTGTAAAGTATTATTTTTTATAAGTAAAATTAACGACACTGAGTATGTCAATGATGGAAGAAACAAACTATTAAAAAAAGACCAATCTCAATTGATATTAATAAATTGGCCTCCTTTAGATGATGTGTATGGTAATAGAAAAAATTGGTCAAATTTACTTTCAGTCAAGATAAATTGCGATTTTGATTAAAAGTATGATTAGTCCATTTAAAGCCACAGTACAAAATGAACATTTTTAGAAAAAATTATTTTCTCCTAGAAATATATCAATGGGTTAAAACAAAACCTCTGAGATTACACTGGAGGTTGTTATCTACTGTTTGTTATATTAATAACTATGTGTTTGGTCATTTTGAAAACATTTCTGTATATTAAATGAAAATTCTCCTAAATTCACTCACCGCCAATATCATGTCTTTTTGCAGCTGATTTCTGATGCAGGATATCAGGGTGAGATTAGAAGTGTCTCTACAGCCTGCCATCAAATTGAGGTGTTTTCCCGAGTGCTCAAGACTTCAGCTTGTTCTTTTCTGGAAGAAGGAGAAATGACAATGGAAAGCAACCTTCCAGAATTTTCTGTATGTTGTAATGTGATTTCTGACTGGTTTTGCGAAACATCATTGCCTTCAATACATGATGCTCTGTAGTTATAAATTTTGTATGGATTACTTTCCAGAGGATGGTATGTTATGGACAGCACACCTACCTGTATGCACAGTGCTTGTTAAATCACATTGCACAAAACACAGAAGGAGGATCAAAACTTCAAAGACTAGGTCAAGAGCTTCAAAATCGGGCAGTTCAAAGGTGATTTTAATCATTAAGGCTCAGTGTTAGGCGCAATGTGGTTGATATAGGATGAGTGGCTGAAAACATATCAACACTTTTTATCTCATCTCCACCAACTGAGAAGCTGGAACAGGTTTTGAGTTAACCCTTTAACCCCTAAGGGTGACTAGCATCTATTTTCTCCTTATATTATCAGCCCTGAATCAAACATTCAAGGTCATGAGAATAATGGAAATGATCAATAAGTACAGGAGCTCTTGGTTGTCAAACAAAATCTCTTTGTCAGCACCTTAGAAAATGTATAGAAAACAGTATGGAGAATATAGATACTGATCTTAGGTTGTAAAGGGTTGATGTTTGCTGGTACCTCTCTTTTGTGTGGGAGATACAGTGGCTTAATGGTTAGAGTGCTGGACTCCAGGAGTATAAATGGATACCAGCAAATTATGAGGGAGCCAGATGAAATTCTGGGGGTGACCTTGTGAGGGACTGGTATCTCATCCCTGGGGCAGGGGAAAGTACCGTATTTACCTGCGGATAGGCCGCACTTTTTTCCCGGAAAAATGGGACCGAAATTGGAGTTGCGGCTTATACGCAGGTACAAGCGTTTTGACACCTCATTAATATGCACGAGAACTCATGGTAGGACAGTAAATTGGCGTTTTAATGTTCGCTTTAAATTGTTCCTAACTTACAACACATACAACTAAACGCGAAGTCCATATCTTCGAAGAATCTTGATTTTCTCTGCAGCAATGAGCGCATCAAGTTTTTTAACGTGTCTCTTGTTTGAAGATGTCCAAAACAGCTTGCACGGAATAGCCATTCCTCCTCCTTTCGAGGGCTTCCTTTTTCCAGTCACTTTGCAGGAAATTTCACTACCGTTCTCTATAAAATAGGATCGTTTCACAGTGATGCTAGCCTGCCTAGGAGATGGAAAAGCTTCCCCCCTATGTGGTGTTTAAACGAAAAACTCTGCCAAAAGATTTGGTGCTGCCACGGGGTATCCGTGTTCGTGCTCAAGCCAAAGGGTGGATGGACGAATCGCTTGTAAAAGACTGGCTGAACTCCGTCTGGACCAAAGTTGGCGGGCTTCTACGAAAAAGAAATCTCCTTGTGTAGGACTCGCTTAGAGCTCACTTAAGTTACAATGTTAAGCGGGTTTTGAAAAATTCACGCACAGATGTGGCCGTAATACCGGGTGGGATGACAAGTCTTTTACAACCTTTGGACGTCGGTGTCAACAAGCCCTTCAAAGACAATTTAAGACAATACTGGAACGAGTGGATGCTTGCTGGAAACCACACATTCACACCAGCAGGCCGCATTCGAAAACCTGACCTCCGCCAGATTTGCCAGTGGATTCTAGACAGCTGGAATGCCATTTCCACAGACACCATCAAACGATCATTTCTCAAATGCTGCATCACGAACGCACTTGATGGCACTGAAGACAACATTCTCTGGGAAGATATGGATGAAAGTGATCCGTTTGCCGACAATGATGGAGCGGAGTCAATTGTAGACGAAGAAGGTGAACTTTTCTATGCTGGTGAAGAGGAAGTTTCCGTCCTGGATGTGAACGAACAAGAATACCGTGACATTTTTGGTGAAAGTGACATTGATGAAGGTGATTTCAATGGATATTAATTTTGATCGGACAACAATGAAACTTTGTTGTGTAGCTTTTATTGATTGAAAAGTTCATCACGGAATGTATATTAGTTTCATGTAAATATTTTAATAGTTGTTAACAGATTACAACTTGTTTATGATTTTGGCGAACGTGTTTACAAGGGTTATGCTTCACTTTACTCGTGTTTGTACATATAAGGACAGAAACTTGTTCGAAAAAATTATCTTTAATTAAGATTATTTTGTATATAAAATGTTAGCGAATAGACGTTTCAGTTTCTAGTTTGAACATTTTCACGTTCGTGTAGGAACTATTGCAAAAATAAACTTGACTTGATACACATCAGCTGTTGTTGATTTCAAACTTTGCTTTATTTATCCCGGTACTCGACCTCAACAATTTTTTTTTTCCCATGAAAACCATTGAAAGTTTGGGTGCGGCCAATACGCGGGTGCGGCCTATCTTCGGGTAAATACGGTAGTAATAATACTCCTAGTTGCTTCGTGCTAAGGAAACCAGGATAAGTTCCAACTGCATGGGCCACTTGGCTGCAGACTTGATGTATCTACCTCTCTTTTAATTTACCACTTACAGTTTACAATTTGAATTAATTTAGTCCTGTTTTTGGTGCTGTACTAAAAGTACTTTTTAATCTTTTTACAGTGGACATGAAGTCACAGAGATCACTCTATCTTTAAATGGTGCTGCAGCTTTTCCCAGAGCAAATTCTGCCCTCTCATCCATGTTAGGAAAAAATTCTCTTAATCCTGGAGATATCACTGTGGTAAGCTGACAGAGAAAAATAGCAGAGTATATGATAAAGGGCAATGATAATAGGTATGATTTGAACACCTGTATTAGTGTGTGTTTTATCATCAAGGCCTAGTTTTATTTTTTTTAACAAAAATTTTTACCATTTGGGAATTTTAGCATTTTTATCATCTTTGAGAGTTTTCTCACTTTGTACACTGTGGGTCAAGTACTATTTATTTTTTAGCAATATCATGTTTTAATAAATTTGTTTATTGTTTTATCAGTCCTTATTTATCATTTTATAATTGTTATTATGATTATTAATTTGGGTTTCTTAAATTTGATCATGCACACTTTAATTTTTTTATCTTTCACTTAATTTTAGGTGATTTGAATGTAGTAATTTAATGTGGAGCTGTAGTTATTTAACACAGAGCTGTGTGGAAAGTTTTCTTTGTCTGTAAATTAATTTGTTTATTCATTCACTTATTTATTCATATGTTTTATGTATCCTCTTGTCTCTTTTACCTTGACACAGCTATACAAGTTATATAGTAGTTCTCAGGCTCCTCCTTGTGCACTCATCAGAATTCCACAGTTTTTAGGTGAGGAAAAATTCATTTTCTTTATCATGTTTTCCTTCCAAGATGTTGAGTATATGCAATTCCAAGAAAGTAATTATAAGACATTTGCAGTGGACAGAGGGGTAATGGAAAATGTTAGTTTGATCAGTTTTGTACAAGGATGGCTAAAGGTCACCAGTTCCAACAGCACTTATGGTTTAATTGATCATGGTCAGAAAATATACCACTTATTGGAAATCATTTTAATGCTGGAATTTATATCAGTCTTTATGTGGTATGGTGGTGAAGGGTGTGAGGCTGGAAGAAACAGTGGTAACTGTACTATCTTGCAAGTGAGTGTAGTGCTATCAAGGGCTACAGCTTAGACATACTTGGCCCAAAATGCATGCAATTTGCAAAGAAGCTGGCGCCAAGTGGACTGACAGCTGGTGGGTTTTTTGCCATCTATCAGCTTCTAATGACAACCCACAGTCGCAGCTGAGCAGCGCAACAAAAGTGACTTATTGGTTTTACACAAATCAGAACATTTCATTGTCCTAAAAAGCTTCACTTGACTTTGATGATGAAAACTTCCCTTCAAGTTGTCACAAACAATTGTCCTTTTCAGTGACAATCTAGTTATCACATACCAGTGCAGCTGCTTGATATAAATTTGATTTCATACAATATTCCTTTTTTTCTAGAACTTCTTTTGGAAGCATTGTTCAAACCTGGACAGCACTTGAATCCAGAACACAAGTTTAAATATGTTTACCTGTTGGCATATGCTGCATCTGTCCATGAAACCTGGGTTGAGGTATTTCCATATTTCACTATTTTTCAGGGAATTTTTAAAGCATTGTGTTGAAACTAATCCAAGATAAAATTGATTTTGTTTTGCTATGCTGTTTGACCTCCTCCTGAGGCAATCTAAGAGCAAACACCATTGGTGAATGGTATTTTCTTTCACTGCATTTTCAGACAGATAACTTGGTTACACTTTGAATAAGCAGAGTAAATCTCCTTGAATCTAATTTCTTGCAAACCTGCTTCTTTAGCCTGAAATGGGAAAGATTTTGGTCACTAACTTTGTCAGTCATATCATTCCATTGAGGTTACAGCTACCTCATCACATAATGATAATTTGTTACATTTGTTTGTTTGTTTCTTTTTCTTTTGATTTGTAGAGTGAGCGAACAATGCTTAATAGAGATGAGCTCAAAACAACTTCTCAGGCCCTGGATAAAATTCACTCTCTGTGTGTACAGGAGACAAAGAAAGGCTCGCAGCTGCTCGCAGAAGTGGGTGTCCTGTTCCAATGTATCAGGTAAGAGCCCAACTATTTCCAGATTTCTGAGAGTAAGTTACACTTTAAAAACAAATCATCCTCATGCAGTGTTTTCTTGCTTCTGTAGGTTTCCTGTAGTTGCTATGGGTTTGTTAAAGTGGGTTGACTGCACCGTATGTGATCCATCATTCTTCAAGTTGCTCACAGACTCAACACCAGTCCACCTGGCTTTATTAGATGAGGTATGAGATAATCAGGTAGCTGCGAAACCAAGATAAACCTCTTACATTACCACGTGACTACTTCCCAGCCCCCGTTCACTTTCCTCCTTAATTTCAATCCTCTTTTCACGTCTCGTAGATCAGCTCCTGTCATGCTCTTCAACATCGCTTGGTTCTCAATGTACTGATCCGTTTGTTTGAGTCTCCAACGCCACTGGACACTTTAGTAGAGGTAGGAATCATTCAATCGAAGTTATCTTTTTGCCAAATCATGAAGATACATGTACATCTGCACACATGCCAAGGTAACTGCACTTCCAGAGCTTATCCTGGTTACCGAAGCATGAAGCAACTAGTATAGGGATTATTACTCCTCATTCATGATTGGAGTTCCCCTCTCGCCCCCTCCCCTTCCCCTGAGGCATTTCCTAGGGTTCCTTTGATGGTGCGCTGGTGTCTTAGCGGATTTGGACCATTGTGGTTCAGTTTGGACCCCAAAAGAGAACAGAACAGTGGGGTCCAAATCCGCTGGGGTCCAAATCCGCTGGAGGTCCAAATCTGCTGTGCCACTAGCACTCATTTATACAGGGTTTCCACGTGTCCTGGAAAACCTGGAAAGTCCTGTCATTTTTATTTTGACATTTTCCAGGACTGGAAGGTCTTGAAAAAAGACTGCAGGTTCTGGAAAGTCCTGGAAATGTGGCTAACTCGAGCAATAAAGATTTCAGAATTTACTTTATAGGAAATATATGTAGAACGTAGGGAGAACTTATTTTGAAATCTTGGGAATGAAAAGCTGTGAGGTGAAATTTGGAGTCTTGGAAAAATTAATCTGCTTCCTGCAAAAGTCCTGGAAAAGTCCTTAAAACTTGTTTCTGAAAAAGGGTGCGAATCCTGTTTATACTTCTGGGTAGAGAGAGACTGTTAGAGAAATATGTGTTACCCAAGGAAAAAATAACAAAATAACCCGGTTTGGACTCAAATAAAGAACTTCTGCACCAGATTCTAGCACAATAGCCATAAGGCTTAAACAGCCCCCACCACACCAATGTGCATGGCCATTTTACAGTCGCCCTATGTAAACTTTGACCTTACCAATGTTATCCAAAAACTAACATATCTGTTCACTTCAATATAAATTTATGATGTTTAATATTTTGTGCATCCACTATATTCGAATTCTCATCGTGAGAGACGTCACAACCATGTTGCCTTTCTGCATTTCAAAGCCAGCCTCTGAGACACTCGAGGGAAAGGAATCCTCGAACGTTTTACTTGCTCTTTTCTTTGGTTTGGCCGGCGGGAATTTGTAGCAGTCACACTGTTCTGGTCTTTGGTTTTAGTTTCAAACATGTATGGTGCTTTGCACTTTTTCGGCGTCTCCCTCGTTGGGTTTATACTCACAAAGTTTGGATTTGGACAGGACCCATCGACATTTGAAGGAAGCGCGAATGTTTCATTTTCTTGCTGACTGAGAAGTGGAGATGTAATCAGGGAGGAAGTCAAAAAGTCTCTCTCAGTTACTCCTTCTTCTGAAGCTGCTGCTGTAGTTGTACTGTCCAATGATGAAGCATACCGTGTTTGTGCAATGTTCGTAACTCGTACCAGTGATGAGACTCTTTTTGTTTCAGAATCATTTGGATGTGATTTGCAGTTTACAAAATTACAGCAAAATCCTTTTACGTCTAATTGTAATCTTTCTTCCTTTTTGAACCCCGAGGTTACTTCAGTTTGAAAGGAGTTCGTTACCCATTTGTAGTTTTCCCCTTGTGGTGAATCTGTTGTTGTTGTTGTAGTTTTGGCAAGTTGTTGTTGCGCTCCTAGTTCGTGGTCTTTTTTCCCTTCCTCGAATAGCCCTTTTGAGTTAGATTGATTCACTGCATGCATTGTCATCCGAGGCATCTGTGTTTCGTTGTCTGCTGTTGCTATCACCGCAGTCAAATGCGACTTTTCCTCAGGTTTATTTGATTTACCATGTCTTGGATTGTCCAATCGTATTGATGCCTCTGCATTTCCCTTGCCCCTGTTAGAGGTTTCATATTTCGTTTCTGTCATTTTTTCAGATAGCACTTCACGGTTCGTGCCAGTTTTGCTTTCATTAAGAAAATTGTCGTCAAAGATTTTCCGTTTTCCCGATTCCTGTTCGTTTTCTTTTCTCGTGCAAGGAAATCTTTGGTCGTTTGAATTTGCTTTTGATATTATTGCATGGCTGTCATGAACGTCTGATTCAGTTTCGTTGTTCGAACAATTGATACGATAACTTGCAGTAGAACTTTGGTGCAGTATATCGTCGTCCGGTTTTGTGTCGTAGATGTTGTACTTTGTTATCCTCTGTTTTCTCGCCAACCCAGGCCTTTGCATGCATGATATCTCGTTCTCTTGTACCACCTTCTCTACGCTCTGTTTGTCTTTGTTTTTTCCTCGGCCTTCAACTGGCAGTGTTCCCTGGCATTCACTTGTTTTCTTGAAGTAACCAGGATAGTCCGTACTCTCTTCAGACCTGTAAAATTCTTTGTCTACAACGTAATCTATACTTTTTACAAGCGAATTAAAATCTTTGCCGTCAAAGCAATCTGTACTTTCTTCTAACCTACTAATTTCTCCTTCACTTCTCCGCTTGTTTTGCTGACACGAGGAAGTTGTTTCTTGATGTAGCTGACATATTAATTGTGCTTTGTCTGGAAGAGAATTTTCTGCCAATTCCTGCTTAGTCCACTCCTCGCCTTCAAAATGTTTTTGCAATCCGTGAAGCAACAGGCAGCACAGTCCGTGTAAAGAACGAAGGACGAGATTCCACAAACAACAAATGAGATATTCAATGAAAGCATAAACGAGAAAAGGAGCTAAAAACGTAATTGCCACTGCAAGATCTGAAACGTTTTTTCTTCCGCTGGACCGATCCATGGGCTTTGAAAACTGAAGGTTTTTGATTGTGACGTCAGTTAGTAAATTCCCGCGCGCTCTTCAGAGAAAGTGCAGTTGCACGTGGTGTTAGCGAAGCTGCATCGCGCGCGCATAAACGAGTGCTTCCTCTTTATTGAGGCAATTAATTATAATCAATTTGAGTTAACTCCGCTCAACGATTGCTTCGCACTAACCAGGTCAGATCGAGGGAGGGTCATAGCAAAGAATGGGGCATGAAAAAGCTGAGTCTTTGTATTCTAAATACTTTAGCCGCTAAATGTAAGTTGACAAGGACTTACGCAAACTTGCTTAAAGTAACGCACACGTTCCTCAATGCTCAGTAGTGTTCCTTGCTAGTGGAGAAATAAATATGATGATTTTCTTTTTCGATAATTACATTTTTCTTTTGTTGTTCGTTGTTTAAGCTTGAGTTCAAGAAAACAGTCCTGGATCGAATGATTCATCTCTTGAGCCGAGGATATGTTATACCCGTGATAAGCTACATTAACAGCTGTTTGGAAAAGCAGAACACGGATAACTCTCTCATAAGACATTTCGTGACTGAGGTAAATAAAGGTACACTGAACTAAATCGCTAAGGCATGAAATCCTTACCAAGTATGGGTGAGTTAAGTTGGAGTAATAACAACAGGTCTGTTCTTTAAAAGGCCTTTATTTATTTATTTGTTTGTATTGAGAAGATTGCCCAAAACTCGTTGCAATATTTTTTTTTCTCTCACCAGGTTCTAGAAATGATTGCTCCTCCATACTCGACCGAGTTCGTCCAGCTTTTCCTTCCCATCGTCCGTAATGAGGAGATCACAGGGAGGCTGCGCAGTGCTGATCACTCTGATGACGTGTCGTTATTTTTAGGTGAGACGTTGTTATCAATTTTTTTACTCACATAGAAGCAGCCTTAACTTATTGCTGGATTAGAGCATTCTAGCTCAAGTGGTCAAGTCTCCGATTAAACGTAAACCAAGGTTTTTAGCCGCGTTTTTAGGAACACTGACAGAAGCATGTCTAGCTGTGGTTTTATGTTATAATTTTTCACCTTCTTTCGTAGGTCACTGTGCTCAGCAGGCTTAAGTCTCCGGTTCAGTGGTGTCGATATTGTCGTGCGGATAAGAGACGTTGAACCAGCTCTGTCCACTTCACCCGGATTACACTAAAATGCGCTTAGGTTTACACTTAACTAAGCTGACCAGAGAGAGTTAGAGAAAGCTATGCTGTCTTTTGTGTATTTAAAACCAAATAGAAGACGTTAAATTTGTAAATAATAATGATAAAAAACATCAGTGCAAAACAAATGGATGTCTCCCTATCCTTGATTAGTGATTTCGAGAAAAAATTATGAAATAGCATGTATAGACAAAAATAAAACTTTTATTTAGACAAAAGTTCATCATTGTAGTCTTTGAATTGTTTTAGCGTGAAAGCCGGCTGAACCAGAAAATACATCTACAAGGAACTACGACCAAACGTTGGATGGCCAGCGTTTTTAGGAAGGAAGAGAAGTTGGTGTGACATGTGACACAGTGATCTCTTGTCACGCAAGCGATCACAAAAATCGCTTTGACTAATTAAGTTTGATTACATTGTATTCACCCTGTTAAATTTTCTTTTCCACAAAGTCTCTAAACAGGTACGAGGTACCATTTGATTTTTTTTTAGCTTGATAGTCCACAGTCTATATGAGTTAAAGTTGACTCGTCTCCCACAGTCTCTTATTTACTTCTTCTTTAATTTACCCCACCCATTTCTATATGGAAAATCTTTTTGGGGGATCTTTCAGATAAACGATCAATAACAAGGTCACACCACAACACCGGGAGCTACGTTCCCTACTCTTTGCGAGAATTGCGTCTCCTGCTGACCAGTACAGAGAGGTTGCACGAGACGGGGCCTTCTGCATGGCAGTCCGTTGCTTTTCAAAATAAGCTTACCAAGCGCTCGTTGTGTTTTGAGGACAGGAGATTGAAGTCGATTCCCGTGAACACCCGCGACCTTCAATGCGACAGACTCCAACTCCCTCTCAACATAGGCAGAAATAGTGATTGGGTACGAACGGGTTTAACTTTTCCGTGGTGGAAACAATTACTGAAACGAATTACATTTCCATGGGCAAGTACTACTTTATTTATTTCGTTAATATTCTGTCATTCCTGGTAACATGCAGTCCTGTGCGAGGTGAACGCTTTACTTTTTGTGACAACAAATCTGTAAATAAATCAAAGGGAAAGGGTATTGAAAGTTTTTTTATCAGATGCAAAGTTAAGAGTTTCTTTTCAATTTTAACATTTTAGATTTTTGAAGTATGAAATGTTACACGTGTGCTTTTGATTGTTCGATTCTAACCTCATAGCGTACGGAATCCAGTACTAGGCCGTCTACTGTATACAACATAAACATATCTCGATATACAATATACGATATGCGCTTTAAGTCTTTACCAAAAAACTAAGATCGATAGGAAATGTCTGCTTATCATTCACATGGATACAACTAGACAACATACCTTCAGCAGAGCTTACATGCTTTCTTACAGTTGGCCTGGACCCAAGAGTGATAACTGCAGTAACTTGTCCAGTTTACACAGTTGGAATGGTTATCCACACACTCTGTTATATACAGAAATTCATATTATCTCCACTGGATTATCATTATAGCCATTTTGAAATAACTGATGGTGTTTTCAATGTTACTGGCTCGTAGCAGCGCAAATCGCACTATTTTTTGCGCTAAATCGAATATATTTCCCGGCCAAAGGGAATGGAACACTGCAATAAAACATATAATTTCATTGGCTCTCAGCAGTGTGAATCATTCATGAATATCACTATTTTAGCCCTAAATCGCATCTTTTCCCAGTGGTGCCTTCATTCACAAACCGGCTACTGGATCCATACTTTACCAGTAATGGTCCAAATCTCGTAGTTGGTAATAAAATAAAGAAATTTCAAAATGATATAGTAACAAAGTTGCATCTTAAGTATTTTAATTCTTTAACCCCCAAGAGTGACTAGCATCTAACTTCTCCTTACAACATCCCCCCTGAATCACACATTAAGGTGAGGAGAAAAAAGGAAATGATCAACTACTAAAGAAGCTCTTGCTTGTTAAACAAATTCTCCATCTCAGTATTTCAGGAATTTGATGCATGGAGAACAGAATTGAGAACTCGCCTGCTGATGTTAGGTTGTAAACTATTTTACTTACGTGATCCTCCGTTTGCAGGTTTACCTGCAAGAAAATCATTTAAACCAATAATTACAACAAATAAATGTATCAACTAAAGGTCAGAATACCTCGAGTATTTTAGGAACAGTTTTTATTTATAGGTACTCCAATTTCTGATGCAAGCAGTTGATCTCTACAATATGAACAGAAGAAGCACACCGAAGTATATTGCCGTGTGCTTAAAATATATTGTTACGAATTAAGTGTAACTGTGACAGATCCAGTAAACTGCAAACTTTAATCCTGCCGGTCAAATTCACATGACAAAGAAAACATGAGTTGAACCTGTGAGGATTTGAAACAAGGATCCTAGGGATTTCGTGGTGCAATCCACAGTGGCTCAGCGCTTGAGCATCACATTGTTAAAGCCGAACATCTGTGGTTCGAATCTTCGTGGTGGAATCAGATCTGATCTTTCCCTCATGTGTGTGCAAATATTCACCTCTAAGAAGAACCTCAGAGGACGGATATTTTTTAATTTAAATGTACTTTGTACAAGTATGTCCAACACTGCGGCTTGATACAAGTCGTCTAATGTACTCACGAGTCGTCTAAAATATTCACGAGTCGTGTAATGTATTCACGAGTCGTTCGACCGGTACTCCTTACTAAGGAGACTAATAGTTTTTCACTATACACCACTGAGCCCTGATGGTGGTGCGTCGATTCGTACAAGTCGTACGATTCGTCGACCATGAATATTCATTACGGAAACCATGGAAACGAAACGTGCGACTCGTGAATACATCAGACGACTTGTATCAAGCCGTGGTATTGGACAACCCTCACTTTGTATGGACTTGTGTAATTAGTAATATCCTACTGACGTTTGGTGACCAGAGAAGCACATAAAACACTCTTACTGTTCAGTGTACTTCTTACCGTAAAGGAACTGAATGGCGTCGATGTCATCCTTTTGTAGTTTCATATTTGGAACATATCCAGTGTAATAGGGATACATGACAGCATTTCTCACATCTGAGTGATGGATTCCCAGTGAGTGACCAAACTCGTGTACAGCGACCCACAGAAGGTTTGTACCTTGACTGGTACCGTCAGTGAAATTCTCATCCTCGTCAAAATGGGCGCGGCCATTTGATGGAAAGAAAGCATGCGCAAGTACTCCACCTCGGCCGTCAAAGGGATAATAACATGTTCTTTCGGAGTTGCCACCATGAGTCTTACTTCCAAAGCTGAAAAAAGGGCAAGAAAGAGAGAAGTTGGAAAAGTTGTCATAGTTATGTGACAAGGAAAACTTAGCCAACCTATGAGGATCAGTATAAGAGTCTGCTCATCATTTGTCACCTTGAGAGGTTGGAGGACTTTTGCAACATTCTTATCATCCAACCTTAATTGGCAGTCATTTTTTATGGTCCCCCTTTGCACGGTCGAACCTGTATAAAGCGGTCACCCGCGGGGAATGGGTATTTTAAAAACGATACACGACGCTACTTTATGCCAGGACTGACCACTTAATGTTCAGAATCTTGCTCAAAGATACTACTTACTTTGATTTTGGGAGAGAAAAATGGATTCTTAATTTCTTGAAAGATTATTGTTGGTTTATGCTTGAGTGTTTCCGCCTTCAGTGACCGTTCAATACAGGTGGAGGACAATGAAAACATGCCATTGGGATTTAATAAATGGTGACTGCGACCGCTTAGTAGGGGGAAGGGGGAAACAAATTTGGAACTTTGACAACTGACCGCTTAATGCAGGAAGACCGCTTATTACGGTGCCGCTTAATACAGGTTCGACTGTACTCTGTCGGCGACGACTGATCTCCTCTCCGTTCCCCCCTGAAAACCATGTGATCCTTCCATAAATCCTCTACCCCCACTCCCTCCCCCACAGGCGATTGACATTGACCAGTTCCTGTAGTGAAAATGAATTTAAAAACAACGTGGAAACCCAAAATATACGGGTTAAAAAATCAGATGCTTTACAACACTAACTGCCTTTCACTAAGAGGTCTGTGGTAACTCAGATTCTAAGCATTTTTTCAAATAATGTAAATACAGGTTGTTTTTTTTCTTTTCCCGTGATCATCAAGCATTCTAAAAGGCTGAACGAACAACGCATGTCTATCATCAAGCATTCTAAGCGCCATATTCTACAAAATAAGTCAGGTCCTTCTTGCTCCATTTTGAACCAGTCTTGTACCTCTTAACACGTCCCTCCTCGTCCACGTCCGCCATTCCACAACGAGGTTTTTTCATTTGAGCGATGGTTTGTTCGTTCAGCTCTCCAGTCACAGAGAGACCAGTAAACTCCTGAAACCGGCGAATGGCAGTTTCCACGTCATGGTTTCCTGATCTTGTCGGATAAATGTAGTGGTACTGGCTCAGAAATTTCTGGCAGGAAATAATCATGATAAATGAGATTCACAACAAAAAATGTTTCTTCTTTCGCTCTTATTTGGACGGGGTTGATATAAAGGCTAGCATGGGCTCCACTTTTAGGCTTCGCTGAATCTATTTTATGTCATTGTTCTTTTCGGCTAAATTACTTTTAAGCAATAGCAGCCAGCGAAATTCTGCTCCTGTTTTCTCCATCCTTAACCAGCCAGTATTTTACAAAGTGTTGTTAATTATTTTACGGCGGAGATAAGCTCTGTTTTGGCTTTTGACAATTTTTATTTCCGTTTTCTCGATGGGAGAATTTTGTCTCGTAACTTTTTCATATCACTATTGCAGTTCTAGTAGGTTATAATTAAATGTTGTTGTTGTTGTTTTTTGTCAAAACAGGTTGCTTTGGGCTTAATATCGTATATGCTTTGACTGTGTAGTTCAGATGACAAGGGTAGCGTAGAGTAGTTCTCATGGAGGCCCAAGAAAGGAAAGTATAACTCACCAAAGCCATGGTTGAGTCATCGTCTTCAGCAAAGACGAGTGTCTGAGAAATAACGACAGCGACTAAAAACATGGAACACAGCATGTTGAGTTCAAACAAACCGAAAAAAGTCTAAACCGATTTGATTTGGGCGTAGAAGCAGAGGTTGTTTCTTTCTTTTATAACAATTCTGCTGAATAGCTGCAAAACCTGATTAAATTTCACTCAGCAGTTGTTTAAAGGAAAAGAAAGACGGTAAACTTTTAAAACGCAAGCTTTAGTGTGTGTGAAATAGCTTGACAATTGTGACATTTAAAAGGTGAAAGAATCAATGTAAATTTAAGTGTATCCGTTTTTTTATTCAGCGAATTCAGCCTCGACAGCGATTTTATTTTTATCACATAAAGTGTGTAAATTTTGAATGGGAAACACAACAGGATTGGCAAAAAGGTTTTTATAATGTGACGATTTAAAAACTTCAAAAGGATCCGAACCCCCCCAAAAATGTTCATTTTATTCTACTTTCTCGCGTGAATTCAATTATATCCAATAATTCTTAAACACTGTACAGAATTGTTAGAAAGTCATGTAGGCTTTTTGTTTGTCAATATTTGCTTTTAAGTTATCGGCACGAGTTTTTTGTTTATCAACTACATCTACCAACTGCGGCAAGTGTTCTAAGGTGAGAATACAAGTTACACTTGTCAACTTGAACAAGGAAGACAAAGAGATCAAAGACACATGGAAATATTCCATGCTTTAGACTGTATTTACCATTTCTCTTTATTTTGGTTCATCTACAGAACTAGAAATAGTCAAAATCAGGGGCCACCTTTGTGGTTTTTCTGAAATTATTCGTCTGAAAAAGTCGGAGTGCCCGTTTTACCGACAGTATAAAAGGAGATAATTTCAAAGTCATGATCAACTAAGTATAATTGCATCTCTTTTGCAAAGAAATAAAAAAGCCAATTTAATTAACCATCGTGTTCAGTGGATAACATGTGCGAGGTAAGTGGCGAGCTAGATATTGAGAAGGGATAGAAAATATTGCAAATAAAGTGCACGAACTGTACTCCCATCAAGGATAAGGGAAAATATTGATCATAATCTATTGTTTTGCTTCCATTTGAGCTTGATGCCTTAATGTTGAACCCATTGATTTTAAGAGTGGACATAGCTGTACCGAGTTGAAGTAGACAAGATTCGTTGTCTACCTCTCTGCTCAAGAGCAAATATTACAAGGAACTAGTCAAATAACAAATAAAGCTGGTAAACTCACGTTATCAATAGATCTACCCGCCAGTTTTTTTTATTCAAGCACAATAAGCTAAACCCTAGCGCACCCATTGACTCAATTGAAAGAGCAACAACTGAGTTTGCAATTTTCATTTCCCCTTTATTAAACCTTTCACTTGAATCACATAAAACAATCAAAGTATCTTCTCTTTCATCAGCATCAAATCTGCAACAAAATAGTAAATACTCAGCACGACGTTTTCTATATCTGGAGCTAAAAAATAAAATACGAGGTTAAAAGTTAGGGTCGGGGTTGTGAGGTTGTGCAGAAAAATCGTCAAACTCTTTTACTTCGAGTGCATATGAATCTCAGCCCGACAGAAATTTCCTTTGGGCAACTGAGCCTCATTATTTGGCTGACGCGAGGCATGAAGCTTACTCCAAATGTAATTGCGACGAAGATTTGTATCGGATTGTCTTAAAAGTACAGCATTGACTACAAAAACGATTTGCTTTTTTTTTCATGACTATAAAATCTCACAGTATGGACAAACTGAGTACAGTTTTTGTGAGCAGTTTGGAAACAACCCTTTTCCAATTTCGCGCTCTATTGTTTTTTTTTTCTAAAAAAAGGTCGTCTTTATTCTATGTCACGAATATATTTGGAATAGTTGCACAATGTAAGGATGACACATATGAGTCAAACGGGCGCGTGGTTTTGGTTTAGGTTCACTGGACTTCAGAAGAGACACGAGGTGTGTAAGGCTTGTGTAAGTTATTATAATGCTTATTCTTTTTTTCATTTTCCGTCGAACGATTTTTTTTTAAACTTTCTTCAATTTTTTCTCCACCAATCTCCAACGATAAAAAAGATAGGTCATTACGCATTCTGAGTAGATATTCTGGACCGATGATAACTGGACTGGTACTAATCACGCGCGTTATTTCATCGAATCACGCCGGTTAATTTGCGGTAGCTGAAAGCAACTTGTTTTTAGACAAAAATTTAAAATATTTTCTAGAATTTGTAACAATTTAGTCAGGTCGTTACTTTGGAGATCATAATTGGCATCCTCGAGTAACAGGCTTCGTGCACGCCTATATCTTTTTTTACCTTCCGATAATTTTTATTTTTCAAGTTTCTTAAGGGGTACAGTTTGTATACCAAGATTATGCAATAAAAAAATAAGTCACCGCGTTCTTCAAGAGCAAAAGACTATCGTGCCTGTTCACCCCTTCCATTGGTTGAAAAGTAATAATAGGTATCGTGAAATTAAGTGACCACAAAAATTGGTAACAGTAATGTACCCGATCACAACTCACAGCCGCAGTTCTCGATACGCTTCCCCCTAACTTTGCTTCAATACATCCTGATTCTTTTCTAAGTGGTCACAGGGCGTTATACAGTGATAAAGATCCCAATGACTGCGTCCAAAGGCAAAAGTCAACGAAGATGCTGACAAACCTTCAGCAACGGCGACAAGTTCTCCTGCAGTAGCGTTGGACGAATGCGTGAAAACGACATGTACCCCCCCGGCTCCATGACCGACATTGGGAACTGGATGCCAAATCGAAACATGCTGCAACATAAAATACACAGAATTTATAAATTTGCATAAAAGAGGAATGATTAACATTTAGGATAAATCACTGACAGTTTATCTGTTGGTATAATAAAGTTATAACGCCTTTTTAGCTCTCTGTTTTATTATTATTATTATCATTTCCTTTTTCAAATTGGCCCTTTAAACCTTTAAGAAAACTGGCGCGAATAAGAGCGATTGCATCTGATTGGTTGAGAATTTGGCGCGAGCTTTAAGGACCAATCACGAAGTATGGCAAAGCGAAGCTAACGCTACCCTGGATTTGTTTCAAGACTCGACTGAAATATGTCTTAATGGATACAGACTTAGGAACGAATATAACAAAAAGAGGTTGAAATGAAGTGCTCACATGAACTGCCTCCACTACTGCTTCCTCCGCTACTTCCTCCGGTGTTTCTCCCTACAAGACGCCAAATAAATAAAGATAGGACTGATGCAAAATATGTATCAATTAAGAAAATTTAAGAATTCAAGATTTGCTCGAGGAACGCGAGCAATAGCAGAAAGTATGACGTATAAAGTATAAAGTATGACGTTAATAGCCAATGGCTTTCAGTCGTTTTCACACTTACTTAGAATGTTTGTTATATTTACAGTGAAAAAAAAAGTTTCTTCGTTTTTCTACGGGCTCTGTTTAAGCGTGAATATGGGAAAATTTGAATTATAGTAGTGAGTTCATTTTTGCCGTCAGCCGTTATTGCAAACAATATATTATAATTCACAAAGGATATGAAAAAATTTCCATCTGTGTATCACATTATTTAACTGAATTAATCAGCAGTTTTTAGGATGAAAAAAGGCTGCTTTTCTACTGATTTTCAAAAATCCATAAGCTTAGCAATTGCAAATACCAGTTCAATACCACTAATAAAGTAATAAAACTAATAAAATCAAGTTCATTACTTTGAACGGGAAATCAGGGGGTTCGCATGGATTGATCTCAGTTTTGCATCTTATGGGTTGAAAGGGTGACGCGAAGTTTTTTCGACCAATCAATCACGGGAAATAAAGCAAAACCAATGAGATTCTGGGATATTATCGACAATAATTCGAAAATTGTTCTATTTGCTACCGAAAGAAAACTTACCGTACAAAGACTGAATGGCAGCGATGTCGTCCTGTTTAAGCTGCATGTTCGGCACATACCCAGTATAGTAGGGATACATGACAGCATCTCTAACAGATGAATGCTGGATTCCAAGGGCGTGTCCGAATTCGTGTACAGCCACCCACAGAAGATTTGTTCCTCGGCTTGTGCCGTCAGTGAAAGTTTCGTCCTCGTCGAAATGAGCGCGTCCATCAGAAGGGTAGAATGCATGCGCTAATGTTCCGCTCGCCCCATCAAATGGGTAACCACATTGGTTCTCACTAACTCCTCCGTGTGTTCGGCTTCCAAAGCTATGTGAAGAAAGATAAGTGAGTAAAATTTAAATAGTTTATAAAGAGGCGTACATTTTTTTAATCTAACTTGGAAAGGGATTTGACCCGCCTCCAACACTTTTGGCGTCATGGCTCATTTTGTTCCATGGAGTATCGAGCTAGCATTGCGAGGTTACAAGTTTCAGTCTTGGATGATTCTTTTTGAAAGTTTTCAAGTACCTAATAGTACTCCTGGATGGAGAAGGGCACTGTCTTGCCCGGGAACAAGATGAAGTGACTGCGCTAAAATGATTTGGCTCGAACCCTCTCTCTCTCTCGATCCATTTCAAAGGCCAGTGAGCTTTTCAACTTACAAGGAAATGCTAACTGCATTAGAATAAAGGTAAAACATACTTACCTGATTTTAAGGTCCGCGGTACTTGCGCTTCTTGTCGTAGAGAAAGACAAACCTGACACGTCAGACCAGAACTTTAAAGCCTTCTCGAACACATCGTCTTGTTTTGAACGAGATAAATCAGCTCCATATTCCACAAAGTACGTCAAGTGTCTTTTATTCCATCTACCAGATGTACTGTATCTCTTCACTCGACCCTGTTTACCCATAGGATCTGGCATTCCGCAGCGTGGTGCTTTCATCTGCGCAAGCGTTAGTTCATCCAACTTGCCAGTCACAGGGAGACCAGTGAACTCTTGGAACTTTTTAATGGCAACCACCAAGTCGTGGTTTCCCGTGCGCGTTGGAGATAAGTACTGATAGTAGTTCAAAAAGTTCTGAAGGAAAATGAGAAACATACCGAAAACAGCAGTGATTAATTGACGATAACTGGTGTTTTATGCAAGTGCTCTATTGACGCTATATTCCCACAGTTCTTAGCGAAGAGTAGACGTCAGGGAAAGTTGATGAAATACTGAAGGAATAGGCTAAACGGACATAAAGAGCACTTGTGGACCTGTAGAATAGCAATTTACTCTTAAACGCTTGTTACTAAAGCAACTAAGCTGAGCTCACGAGGAAAGGGTGACTTAGTTCAAGAGCAGAATTAAAGTAATTTCAAACAGATAAATAGGCTATGAATTTGAAAATCTCCTTAGTCGTTCACAGTAAATAAACTCAGAGGAACTTTGTCAAGGTTGCCTTTTTAAATAAGAAAGCCTAAATGAGCTTAAAAGTGAGTAATGAATATCAAAATGTTCTGACAACGAAGTGAAAACTATTAAAGAAGGCAATATCAGAAAGAAATTCTAAACGTAACATACCAGAGCAAAACTTTGGTCATCGACATAGCGGGCAAACGCATGCGATGTAAGAGCAAGCAACAGCACGGAACACAGCATGTTGAGACAGAGTTATATTACACCAACTAAAACGCCTTTAGTTTGGTATCTAGTGAAAAAACTCCCGGAACTAAGTTTATTTATAACTCGGTATTTACACAGTCTCTGCTCTTTGAGTTTACCTCTGTTTCAAATTCATATTTGTAAAGCTTCGAACCATCTGACAGCTGAAAATTGATCATCCAAAGAGTTTTACTCGGAAGATTTTATTAAATCTTTTCTATTTGTTATCAAGTTTATTCGAAATGCGCTCACTTATATTAAATTCTCTGCGTTTTAATTTTCACTTTGCCACCCGACCTCTCTGTCTTGAAGAATATGAAACTGCAGCTTTTGAGAGGTAAATGGAAACTGGAGATAAAGTTGTAACTAAATGCTGCTATATAATGAGCTCACTTTTACACTTGCTATTACACTTTTAACTAGTGCTTTCTTTTATCATGTCCCACGTCAAATTTTGCTAGCTTAAATTGCAGTTCCTGAATAAAGACACGTGGTTTCATATCATGACAGAAGGTAAAGATGTCTGCTGCGTGTGATTCAGTTTATGGTTATCTTTTTCTCCTTTTAACGATAACTAATTTTACAGATCGAGGACAAAAAATTATAACTCGCAAAAATTCAATACTAAACGGTATGTTTTGGGTTATATAAACCAGGAAAGGCCAGTGTAATAAATGTCTCTCTATAATCATTTTTCCTGAAAAAACATCATTGTTTCCTCGGCATTTTTATTTTTCTAACTGTATAAACTTATAATTTCCATCCTGATTCATTTGCGTATTACAATTTATTACCTGTTTGAAATGTTAGCTCAGGCTATTTTCCATGAATTTCTGTCGAAATCGTAATGAGATTTTCAATTAACAGAACTTTTTCTTGTTCTCTGACGAAAAATTGCTTGAAATTATTTAAAAATATGCTATATGAGTGAAAAGGCTACTTTTAGCTATTTGTTTTAAAACTGTATTTGCTTTTATTCTTCTTTACTTAGAATTATCTGCCTCAAAAATTTGAGGTTGAATAAGTATTGAAACACAAAATTCCTGACTTTCTCTGTGCGACTTTCTTTCTCACTTGTTTGTTGGCATTTGAATGCCGTCTCAACTGTAAGATGGATTATTGTCTAAGGATTGACTGAAATTTTTAATTAAAGTAATTCCAGTTTCCATGCTGCACCGTGCAAGGAATTGAAGGGTAATAAGTAAAGTCTACTATGGTCAATTTTGCAGCAATATAGCGTTTTGGTGGGGAGAGTGCCAGCGGAAAAAAACCGTAGAGGATTAAAATCCCTTTTTACTTTGATTGCAGAAATTCACGCGTGCTCTTGTAGAGAGCCGTTTTCACCATGGTCCTGTCTTACACAATTAATTGAAAACAGGGTGTTCTGTGGTTGATTGTTGCCTGGGATACTTAAGACAAGCCTCATGGAAAAACGGTTTTCTCTGGTTTGGCTAACTTGGCGTAAACTTGTTTTGAAAAGATTCAGTATTCTGTAGGGGGAAGGTGAAGGCACTAAAAATAAAAAGTCCTTTTAGTTTGTGGCTAGTGAGAAATAGAAGAAACAAAGATAAAAGTGTTAAGGCGAATTAAAAATTGAAATATCTTTATTACATCAATTCTTTGTGAATGCGAGATCCGTGCGACAGTCACAGATCAGATTTAGACCAGAAAAGGCGTCAAAATGTGCTAAGAACACTAATGACTGAGATCCGAGATCCGAGATCCGAGATCCGTGCGACAGTCACAGATAAGATTTAGACCAGAAAAAATGTGCTAAGAACGCTAATGACCCATTCATTTACGGCTTTCTCTTACTATTTGACGTCTGTGATCCACAAATGATCAGTCACATGGAAAAATAGAGCCCATTTATTAAAAAAAATGTCATTCAGTTAGATTCATATTAGATTTTAATTGACCGTTTTATCTGCTAATGTACAACTCTTTGTCTCTCGGCCCTTCGAAATATCAGAGCGGTTTATGTTGTGGCTTAATAACTTCCTGAAGCAAAAAATCTTTTTGTATTCCCGTCGAAATGTTCGATTTAAGGCTCCATAAATGATTGGGTTAACAGAGGAACTTGTTAGTCCCATATCAGTGTACATGACATAAACCACACGCGGAAGGGACCATTTTCCGACCCCCATTTCCACAAAATCGATTATTAAAACGGGCGTCCAGCAAAATACATATGCAAGAACAGTTGCAAATAATGTCTTGGTCAGTTTAGCATCATCAGAAGATATGCTATTGTCATGTGCACGCCAACTTTGTATGCGGTTTGCATTTGCTCTTAATTGTCGAAAAATGTTGAAATAGCAAAACAAAAGAACAGAAATGGAGATGAAGAGACAGATATAAACAAAGTCAGACACAAACGACATCTTTGCTTCATGGAAACAGAAAAATTTTCCCGGATGGAAAATGTATTTTCTACCGCTTACGAGATAAGGGACTGGATACATCATGGCTAGAAACCAGACAGCTGCGGCCATGAGCCGTGCGCGTGGCAAGGAGAAGAGAGTTCGGTGCTTCATCGGACGAACAACACGATAGTATCGATCAAGAGACATTAATGCCATGGTCTGTAGAGAAGCTGCTGTTGTTGTTATAACAACATAACCTTGAAATTGACATGTTGCAAAGCCTGAAGTCCATCTGCCATGAATGAGTGAGAGTAAAGACGGCGAAGTCGTGAAGGAAATGATAGCAACATCTGACAGAGCTAGTGAAGCAATTAACATCCCCGGCACGTTCTTAAGTCTAACAGATTTGTACACAATATATAGAACAAGGAGGTTTCCGACAAAAGAAGTAGAACAAATCAAACTGTAGATCAACGATTCTAGAACGACTTGAAATGTCCCACGAGAACTGAAAGATTCCGATAAGCGATCAGCATGGCTGTCTTCAGCAGACTTCCCGGAGATATTCATTTTGGATTTCTGAAAAAAATAATTGCGATTTAAAATCATATTTCAGGGGTTTTTTGATGAACTTATTCTAATAATTGAAGAAGATCACAGAACCTTCTAGATTTTTTTTTCTAGCTCGTTTTAGTTAAACACATTGAGCGAAACCTTTCGTCCTGTCCCAGCCGTAGGCAAATAAAGAAATAATTTTTTGGAGTTACCTTTAACTTATAAGAACAAGTCTCCATTAAAAAGCTCTCTTGTGTAAACAGTAAAAAAAGTCGTTAAAATGAAACGCATTTATGATAATCAGAAAATAACTCTTATGAGTATTTTAAAACTTTTTATGGTTACATTGAAACTTTATTAGGAAAAAATGCTTCCAATGTCCAATAAATAAAAATCGAGAGAGAGAGCGAAAAAAAAAAAGAATTTCTGAAAAACAGCAATCCTGCAATCAATTATCCCACGCAACAATTTTGAGTGAACCCGATAGGAAAGGCGTTGGGAAATTTGAACAATCTGAAAACACACCATGTCATGAAAACTTGTCAAGAATGATGTTTTTCATGATGACTTGACAAACAGGAAGTTGTCAAGCACTTTATAATGGAAAATGTCTCCTTCATATGTCAATTTTTTTTTTCAGGATGACCGTCAGGCTTGAAAATATTTCGCTTTGTTGTTATGAAGTAGACTCAACAGGATGGCTCCTTTCTTTTCATTTGCCATGTAAATACAGGAAGGCTCCCTTTTACAATCCTTGTCAGAGTGTTCTCGTAAGGGGCGTTGGGTTGGGAGTGGACCTGTATGAAGGGTGGGTTTCCAAATCACATCAAGAATTTCGGTATTGAAGGGGGTATCAATAAATCTGGAATCCAGTGGGGATTTTTGAAACTCTGAAATGAAATTAATATCTCAAAAACAACCAAAGTTCCAAGAAATAATAGCCAGTCCGGAAAATAGTTAGGGTTTGTTTATAGGCATCGTTGTTATAAAATGAATAGAAATGGGTTATTCACTGAACGGTTTTCACCCTGCAATTAAAACAATGTGTTTTCGCATATGGATGCCGCCTAACCTGGAAACATTAAATTATTCATAACTGTGGCGATGATTTTTGGAGGTAACTGACCATGAATACATTACACTTAAAGTAACATTTACCGAACTTAGTGGGTTCCACCAGAATATTAACTCTCCCCGAAGGCCGTTCATTATTTAGGACACAACATTACACCTCTCCTGTACAGCTGATATGATTTACAAAAAATCCTTACCATAATAGTATTTACAGCAGAAAGACAATAACTTAGGAGGGATGGTTTTTTTTTCCGACGGTAGGTTTACAACAAGTTAGTCATCACGATTCGATTCTTTTATTCTCATTAACTTCCTAATAAAGAAAAGCAATCTGATTGTCACAAATGAACGTTATCATTTCCTCTGATAGATACCATCTGGTCCTCTAGCAAAATGATCCAAAAAAATCAATGGGACCCAGCCGGTGTTCCAAGGATCTCTCAAACTTCAACTTGGAAAGAATAATAACCTATGTCATCCTTATTTATTACAAATAGATAAAAAAAGCCGAATTTCTGTAAGACCTCTATGGCGTAGTGATTGTATAAAATCAAAGAGACCGAGCTGATATTCTCAAAGAGCTAACTGAATCCTTATCACGAGGTTTTTTTAAAACAACTTATTATGCTGCGAGTCAGTTAGGATACTTACGCTTTCATATTCTGTTCAATGACAAATGAAAGCGACGACTTCTTTCTCGATATCACGGTTTCTTTTTCTAGCTGAAATGGGGATGGATCTTGTTTCAGTTCATCGCCTTGACTCGACTTGGCAAATAAAACTTGCAAGGTGAAAAACGTCCCTTTGTCTTGCGCACGTACAGATGTGATTTCAATGCTTTTTTCCTCTATTGAGAGAAAAGAGATCATGTAATCTAGAAAAAAGCCAACCTGATTGGTTTAAACGTGAAGGTGAATATGCAATATGTACGGGCAGAAGAGAAAACGAATAACGGTGATTGTGATTTTTCCCGCACGAATTATTGAGACTCCATGCGATTGG